CTTCCAAACCCAAAGTCATCCCAATTCCTCAAATGCTCAAGCTCCCTCTCCTGCTTCTCCCTTATCTCCCTCTTCTTCTGCCTCTCCCTGCGTTCGCGTTCGCGCTGGTCCCTCTCATGTTCGCGCTGTTCTTCAGCCTGCCGTTGCCGTTGGCGCTCACGCTCGCGCTGTTGGTGGGGTTGGCAGCTTGACGTTCGCGCTGGCGTTGCGCGGCGGCTTGTTCGGGTGTTAGTGGCGCAGGGTTGGAGGTAGCCGTAGCCACGGTGGTGTTAGCACCGCTAGTGGTCGAGGCATGGGCAGCGCCAGCGCCAGAAGCGGACGTTGACGTCAAGGCAGGTTTCGCCGTAGCACTAGTGCTCGTCGAGCTCCTCTCCTCTCTTGCTGGGGCGGACAGCACACCCAACCCTCCTCCTCCTCCTCCTCCGCCCTCGTCCCTCGCACCCCTCAGAGGCCGGATATCGCTAACCGTGCCCCTCCTCGCTGGACGTGTAGAGGCGAGGGACGGCATGCTCGTCGTGCCTACGTCGTCTCTGCCTCTATCCCTGTCCCTATCCCTATCTCCTTTACCAGCTCGGTCGTCGACGGCATTTCGGCTGCGCGGCGTCGACGTGCTCCTCCTCAACGTGCCGCTCCTTTCATTCCTGTCATTCCTCTCGTTCCTATCACCACGGTCTCCACGGTCAGCCCTAAGGTCCCTCCTCCCACCTCTCGTCGAGTTTGAGAACATCGAAGAACCCAGTGCTGAGCCGGCATAAGACGAACCACCGCCAGCATGATGGTACGAGGAGCCCGCATGAGAGTAGGAAGTATGAGAGGCACCAGCACCAGAACGTCCCTTCGGCCCAACCGAGTGCGCAAGGTGGGAGGCCCCGCGCAGGGCGGTTAAGGAGGCGAGTGGGAAGACGTGTGTCGTTTCTGGGTCCTGTGATGAGGGGTGGTTAGTATGGGGATTAAATTTTTGAAAAGAAAAAAAAAACAATAAAAAAAAGTAGAAATTAATGATAGAGCAGAAAGAGCGGAAAGAATAGAGGACGCAAATCGAAGAACGAGATAAGAACATGAGATTGTCTGAAGCAGCAGCAGCAAGATTGATGATTGATGGGTATCGAACACCAGTCTGGGTACGATTGGAACGAGAATGACGCAGCAAAGTCGAAGAGGGTAAAATACACTGCAACGCAGGAAAACACAAAAACGAGCCCGTTCGAGGAAGAGTATAATAGAGCTCGAGATATGCGTGGAACGAGCAGAGAGCCACGAAGCCATCCTCGAAGAACGAAAACTCGACTTGAGAAGAACAAAAAGGCTAACCTCGAGCTCAACGCCGATACAAAAAAAAAAAGTAAAGTAAAAAAAAAAAACAATAAGGACGACCCAGTGAATCGACTCTGGTGCCCAATAGGTGTTCATGAGAGAGTAGAAGGACATGATCCACGGCAAGGAAGGGCAAAAGATCTATAGCAAGAATATCTTGAGAAAGTGGAACGATGTTCGAGCTCCTGTGGTGCCGAACGAGCACAAGCGTAACAAAAAAATTGAAGCCACCGCCACCGACAACGATAACGGCAACGCCCAATTGGCCCGATGAAATAAAGTAAAACATGCGTCGCCCAGGCAAGAATGCAGCGTAGACCACGCTTGTGAAAGAAGGTCGGGACAAGGAAGGAGACGACGTCAGCGAAAATATTTGAAGAATAAAAGCAAAGAGATGTTAGCAACGCAAGGCCAGTCTCCGGAGTGAAGAGACGTTTGAAACTCGCGAATCCACGCATAGAGATTAGAGAACACAAGAAAAAATGTACTGGAGTGTTTGGACGAACGAAACTGAAGGAAAAACGGGGCATCGGAAGACCCCCGCCCACCAGCGCCAGAGCATGCGAAACAGATGAGAATGGTCCAAGCTCGTCGCCGAACCCGTGGTGCAAGCCGAAGGACAATCGTGAAGAGAGAGAGGAGAAGCGAAGAGGGAAGAAAAAGGTGGTTCGATCCCTGGGTTGGCGAAGGCAGCGCGAGAATGAAAAGAAGGAACACAAATTTGAACATAAACACGATTGAACCTCATAGACCAAAAGAAGATTCAGAAGCAGAAAGACAAGAGAATGGAATGGGAAGAACGCAATCACTCCTGGAGAAAAGGGAGGTAGCAGGATCGAAGAAAAAGAAAACACCAAGGGAAAGGATTGATAGATGTAAGGAAAAACACTCACATCGCGGTCCTTGCACAAACGAACCACTCCATCCCTAATGACAACCCATCTTTCCCTCCATTCGAGCTTGGTCTTCTGCAACCTCCGCCTCTCATACCCATGTCCGTCCCTCCTATAATCATGACCATGGCGATCTCTTGAATGGTCTCGATGTCGGTCATGCCCGGGCTTGTCGAAAACACCAATATCTCCAACGAGCACCCCCATCGCCGCGCCCATCCCACCGGAAGCACCTCCGTAGTCATGCCCCATGGTGTACTTTGAGCTCTTGTCGTAGTCGTACCCGTAGTACGCTGCCGTCCGTGCATCGACCTCGGGCCGCCAGACGACCCGGAGACAGCGCACCCAGCCCTCCCAGTACGGTTGTACGTACGCACTGGGCAGGTGTCGGGGCAGGGCCACCATGTAAAGACGGGTGGAGGGTGTGTAGGATGCTGAGGCGAGTGTGACGAGCGTGTCCGTCGGCTTGTCCTTGTCCTTGTCCTTGTCCTTGTGGTCCTTTGCCTTGACGGTGTTGTTGAGGTTGAGTAGTCCAAGCACCCTCTCCGCCGTCACACCAGTCGCCACCGCCGACGTCCCACCGAGGCCCGAGCCCAGAAGGCCGACCTGCTCCCTCGTCATCTCGCCGCCGTTGACGAGCAGAGGACCCAGGAGGACGGAGACGACAAACCCACCCAGCGGCGCCGAGCAGTGAATCTCGACCAGCTCGTACGGGCACAGGTCGTACCACGACACCAGGAAGTCCTCCTCGAGGATCTGCCCCGTCGAGAACCGGATCAGCGTGAACGGCGCCGTCAGGATCTGGTTGTCGTGGTCCCTCTGCGCTTGCTGCAGGTTCGGGTGCGACGAGAGCGGGTGCGACGAGAGTGTGTGGATGGGTGTTGGGGCTACGGACGAGGAAGGGCCCGTTGATGGCGTTGAGCTTGACGTGCCTAGTTTGAGGAGGGGCTTGAGTCGCCCGAGAGGTGGTACGTGTACTGTGGGTAATGGAGGTGGAGGGAACGTGCACCCGCCCGCCCATCGTCGCCGTAGGCGTAACGTCCAGGTCCTCAGCTGCATCTTCCCATTCTTCTTCGACATCTTCCTCGTAGCCCTCCTCTCCGCCGACCTTCTCCTCTTTCTCTGCTGCTGCTACAGCTTCGTTGTCTCCTCTCTTCCTCGGACCGACAGCAGGTGCTGGCGCGAATCTGATTGGGCTGACTGGCCGTCTACCCTCCTCAGGTGCAAAGGTGATGGGCGATGGAGCACGGCCAGCAGACTCGCGGGTAAGGCCTCGAGGGTCGAATGGTAAGGAGAGTGCCCTGGCAAGGATGCTCTGCTTGAGGTGCTTGATCTTCCATGTCGGGTCGGCGTGCGTCAGGAACCATTGGTCGTATGGAACTGAAGGAAGGGGTTGGAAACGACACAAAAGGTGTATAAGGATGAAGTGAACACGTACCATATCGACACGCAATCGGAATGTGCTTCGACCGACGTCCATCCATCAAGTAGCTTCTCTATCCTCTTCGTCGCTCCTCTGTGTTGTCTTCGCGTCTTCGTTGGGTTGTCAAACCTACTTGTTCAAGCGAAAGGATAGAAATCAGCAAACAAGCCCGTTCCCATACAATTCCTCGTAGCTCCGTGACTTGTTGATAAAACCTGCCCGCCATACAGGCAACTTGACAACAAAGGCGGATTCAATCGCCATGGTGGACGTTGGTCGTCCGCGCATACATTGAACTGTCACCGAGCGGGAGGTTTGAATGCACAACACGCATACACCCAGTTTCCAACAAGAGACTCGAGGATAAACCCGCTCACCCGTATCTGTCTAGTTGCAATTCCCTCGTCGTGTACAAGGGTCGTCGTCGTCGTTGTACCTATTTAACCGTCGAAATGTCACATCAGCAACTCAACTCAACTCGACGATCAACACGAGGCACTCAAAGAACATCGGAACCCCAAAGGATGAGAGCAAGCCCAAATATGAACTTCACTTACCCCAAACCCACGTCGCCTCCGCTTATCCTTCACTTTGGTTGTTTGCGCCGTAGAACGTCGTTGTAACTGCTACTCGACGTCTAAACGCTGAATCAGCGAACGAAGCCACCAACAGCCAGCGGCTTGTCCCTCCGAAAAAGAAGGAAGGGTAACCAAATGAAAGTGACTTACCCCCAAAGCGACACCTCAAACGCGAACAAATTCTTCTTCCAAGCCCAAAATGTGCTCCTTTGCTTCTCCAATACTCCCGTCAAGTGATGATACGTCCAACTTCCCTCCGTCTACAGATGCCCTCTGATAAGTGGGCGATAGCTCGCCCGCCTGATCCTTGTGTGCGAGGTGGGTTACGGTCTTGATAATCAGGCGCCGATCCTGGTTCTGAGCCGTGTATGAGGCGCAGCGGGGTGAACTTAGGATGATGTTGGTGCTGGTGTTGATGATGAATGGCGGTGGTGTCGGTGTGCTCGGTGTTGGTCGCTGGCAAGGAAAAGATCGGCGTAACAGTCAGCAAGGGTCAAAATAGGTCAGTATCCAGTCAGGTTTCGACGTACGTACATCGACGACGTTGCCGTACACGCCGGTCCTACTGCTGCCACGAGGTCGGGGTCTTTGTGCCTTCTTTTTCCCCTTCTCCCGCCCTTGAATTTGGCCTTGTGGGTGCGTCGCGTTCACCGTGACTTTGGGTTGACAAACGTTGAGGTCTCTGGTTCAGTACGACACCTGTCTTTCGCTGATGCTGCAGTAATTCACTCAGCTTCCAAGTCGAGGAGTGCGTTTGGAAGAGAGACCTACGAAGTATCAAGCAGTTCACGTTGGCCAGTGTACAAAGGCCGTCTATTGAACGGTGGCGATTGAGATTGAGATTGAAAGTCGACAAGGTGTTTTCTGGATCCCGGAGGACAAAGTTCAGGAGAGATTCTGAACTTTCAAAACAAATACCTAATGAGAATATCGAAAAAATACACGATAGGAAATACGGCGTACCTCTTCTCTTGGCCTGCCTAACGGTAGGTGCTTGAAGAAAGAGAGAAACGCCAATATTGGTGAACCTCGTGGTCGATCAGGACGTAACTCAGGGTCAGATTTCTACTTTAATTTCAAGCTTACGTATTGCGCTAAGTAGAATTCGAAATTTATTTTGGGACTTAGCCACCATGCCGAGCACCGGACCGGACATTCCGACAGGCCCCTATCTACCCTTCCCTGTCCTCGTTCACCTTTTTCGTTACTTCGCTCGATCCGTTTCTTGGGGAGTGTTTAATTCGCTTATCCAATTGCACTCTCGATATGTCTAATTTTCTCCTGGACGTTTTCATGCGTCGGCGGGAAATTCCCTTTTCACGGACATCCTCGTTGAAGTTGGAAGCATTGTATGGAGAATGCGAAACAATACTGACGAAAATGCCTATATAAATCATGCATAGACCACATAAATCGAACCCACACTTATCTCGGTCGCAGGTAATGTCGAGACGCGCCATTGTCATGTGAGGGGAGACCGGCGAATGTGTTGGTGTGCCCGAGTTTTCTCCACCGATTTTCTTCTTCCTCCCTAGATTGAAAAGTTCTTGCTATGATATGAGTAAATCGAGGTACGAACATACAACGTTCATATGTAAAGCTCAGGCGGGAACTTACTGTTAAGATTCCTTCTTTTCATGTACCTCAATCTCTGTCTTCCGCCCCACTGGGTGTGAGGCTAATTCCCAGGTCTTGGTATTTCTCTCGTTGCGGAAGAAAAGCAAACAATGGTACCCATGCCAGACAGTGAATGCTGGCCAGCATGTCAATCAACGCGGCTATTTTTATCAAAGGGTACGACATTATTTTCGAGGACGATTTATTCCGGCATTTCAACTCCAGGGGTCTGCTCTCGGAATTTGCTCCTCGGGTCGTCGTTGAAGATGAGGTGGAGACATGAGGGTCTCTGTGGCGCACTTACCCTTCGATCTCTCTGCAAAATCGGTCTCGGAGTCTGCACCGGTGCTCTTCTCGAAGCAGACCCCAAACAGGTGGCTACATCAAATGACACTTCCGCGTCCGTGTTGGGTTGGTGTTGCGTCTACTTAGCCTGAAGCGTCGCAGGTTGCATTATCCATCCTATCCATCCAGAGCGCGCATGGCCGTCTAATTACTTCATGTTTCTGTTATTGCTCGATGGAGGACGATGAGCAGCAAGCTGGACCTGATGCAGACAGAATGGCCGTCTGCGCGGAATTTGGCTACATAAAGTGTGGCCTTCGTTTTTAACGTTAACCATCAACTGTACGAAACAATTTGGCCCGCCTCATGTGGATAGTCCTCGTTTGTCTCATCCTAGGATAAAAAGTTCCGAGACGCTCACACAGCAGGAGTAGCTTCAGATGGTTTAATCCTTCGAGACAACGAGGATCCTCTAGTCCCGGATAGGCATCATGTAGATTATAATTAAGAAATGAGTTTTGGTTGCGGTATGTTCGTTCCCACTGAATTCGTGAGAGAGAATGGATCACGGGAGTCCGTGTAAGCTCATACTTACTCCGGGATTTTCCGCGTCGAAATGCATATTCCCACTGTAGCGCATGGGTAAGCCGTTTTAGCTCGCATATGGGGTGATAGATATGGTGGGTTGAAATGTCTCAGTATGCGTAGGGTACATGATAAATTATAATTATATCACTTTAGGCTACGAGCAGCTGATTTATGACGGTTTTGGCATTGCACTATGGCATGAAAAATGAGGCATTAGGGTTCTTGCCTTATTCGCTCGCGCGCTTCCTGCAGAGCGAGGTGTATCGAGAATCTCGCACTGGCTAGGACAAAATTCATAAATAATGCAGGGGCATTGCTGCCTTTGAATATACTAGGCGAATGCTGTCGTGACTTCAACCAAAGGCGGCGGGTCGAGGGATGGGATGATGAGGAGGGTCGTTTAGGTGTAGCCTACCTCCAAGGGACTGTGATCGAACACCCTATTTTCTGTGTATTTGGAGTACGTCTAAAATACACCCTACGTGGAAGACTTCAAAAAAAAAAATGCTGTCGTGACGTACCGTGTGACCCCGCCGTATACCATAGATGGAAATGCGCCTCGCAAGTGGCGCACATTCGCTGTTACACCATCACGTTGATCCCTTTCACGACATACCACGAACAACAATGTCCCACTGTACGCTTGCAATTCCCTCAGTTTAATGCAAATACATTTACGTGGTGCTTTAATTGATTCTTCCCTTCATTACACGCCAGTAATTGATATAATTTAAACATGAACACTGAACAGCCCATGGCTCGAGAGTCGAGTAGTAAGTATGCTTTCTCTGCGGCTTTCCTTCTGAGCCTCGAAAATGGTTGTATGCCCTCGAGTCTACCTGCAAGTTTGCCAGTGTAGGTTGAATATCTATCCATGCACAAGCATGATCAACTGTCCTCAGTCGAAGACGAGCATAAACCCACCTGCTTGAGACTGGTGTCGATCTAAGGGATAAAAATGAGTTCGATAATACACAGCCGGCTCAAAGAAGGCGCACTGAGTCCGTTGCGATGTATCCACTGCCTTTCTTGTTGTTCGCGTTGTTGGTTCGGATGTCGCTCTGAATGTTCAGGACCGTGTTTGCACCGCACGGACTGAGGACTGTCGTGAAGAGGTCAAAGGTGTCGCGGTAGGTGTAGTAGGCGCCTGGGCAGCGGAGGTAAGCGAGGTAAGGATACGCTATAATTAAAACGGCCTACCATTGACCGGGCCGACGAGCGAGGAACGTGCGGTTGCTAAATTCGAGAGCATCAATCCGATCCACAAACACTCGAGAACTAGAACCTACCCTGCTGGAGTTGACCTTGGACTGCGAATTGGAGACGTAAACGGTTCGTCTATTTAAAGAGTGATCACTAACTCACAGTAGTAGATGGATTGTTGAGCAGCTGTGACCTTGGAATCGAGTTGATAATAGCCTCGCTGGAAGATAACGGCGTTGTCAGCAGGATTCAATGACGATGATACATCACTTACATAGTCGACGTTTGCGATGCCGAAGGAGAACCCGGCAGGTACCCTGCATTCCCGTCTTTTCAGCGCCCCGGTGCGGTATACAGAACTCAATTACCTGACTCCGACCGTAAGTTGGCAGTTCTTGCGGTTAGCGCTCGCGGGGATGGATGGTCCGGCTTCCGCATAATATTGACTGAACGTCACGGTGACGGCCGACTTGTCCTCTGACATAGAGCGGCGTTAGACGCTTCCATTGAGAAATACAGATTCGTACCGTTGATAACGTAGTACGTGGAGCCCGGAGGGCATCCAGAGCCGTTAACTCCCAAGCTCGTGCTGAAGAGGGTTGAATATACAGGGAAGCCTATGAATGGACGACCCCCACATGTTGAACCCGGACGGTCCTGCGAGAGCCTTAGCTGCAGCCGGTGCCGGAGCGGGAGAAGCAGTGATTGCGATGAAGCACGATAGAAGGGCAAAAGTAGCTGATACGAAGGAGAGCATCGTTGTATCAGGTACTGCTAGTCTCTAGAGTATCCCTGCTGGAGAGCCGCGTATTTATGTTGGAAATATTGCCCCTTCATAAATCCCAGGAACGACAGGACTAAGTAGCAACCGAGAAACGCCGTCACACGCGCTCAAAGGAGATGCCCTTTAGCCGAAACAAGATTCGCCGGAAGTGTTAGCCAGCGGGTTTATTGGCCTAGAAATGGCAGACAGTGTTCTGCAGTATTCTGTGTACATGTGGCATTTTACTCGGGGCCTAACAGGCGCCTGTTCTTCAATATCTTCAATATGATATGATTTCCTAGAATAGTTTGCGTACCGTCGATTCCAAATACGAGCAATCAGCCCTTTTCCGTTGGCACGAACCACGTGTCTCGGGCTTCTATTCTTCGCTGCTTTAAGTTTCAAGGACAAGGACAATCGCCACTTCGTTACCGTAGCCATTTTACGACGCGACGATTCTTGCTCTAAACATCTTCAATTCAAGTGGCTTCTGAATCTCATGAGTCCTCGGTATTTCCTCGATGTTTTTCCAACGTTATTTAACGCATAACCGGAGAATTGTGATTCTTCACTAGAGGGAATAGTGCGCACATCTCGACAATCAGGCAATTTTGCCGTGAATTGGACCCATCTTCGTCGGCCACCGCGCGTTCATGCGACTCGTGTCAGCTTTGGTCCTTTGGAACGCCCTTCAATCTCCTCACCACTCGCTAGATCCTTTCTGGCTCAGTTTTATACCAGGTGAGACTTCACGGGGTCGACCTCATGTAATATCTCAGTCCTCTCAGAGTACAGGCGCCAGATCTGGCAGATTGTTATCTCTGGCCGATACTTCTGCGCCTCGGTAAGAAGTCGCGTTCAGAGTTGCTCCGGGTGGACCCTGTATTGCGCCGCTAGTAGAGTGGATCTCCAAGAGAGATGGGGAGGTAGCAGTCAACGCACCTACCTAGATTTTGGAACCCATGATTCATCGGTCAAAAGCCGAGCATTCTAACAAGCTTTCGCTTCGCCCTTGTCTCCCACCAGCACCTTTGAAATGACCTTCCGATTCTTGTGGTCTTTCCTCGTGTGCAGCACTTTGTTCGTATCTATCTTCGCCCAGGACTACGCGATGTGAGCTCTCGTCCCTTAGATTTATTCTGAATATCTGACCCTCGTTCAAATCAGCACGACGATTGGTGCCAACGGTTCCGGATGTGCCCCGGGAACGGCTTCGACTTCAATTACTGGTAAGAAGATAGAATTGATTTATTACTTGCAAGTCCTTGTCTTTAACGATGCCTCCCAATGACCAGAGGGGGGTAAAGGGTTCTCCGTAGCCTATTCGGTATCGGCGTCTGCAGGACCGGGCCGCCCATATAGCTTCAGTCGCAGGGCGTGCCAGACTACACTCACTGTAAAGTGAAAACTCTGCGAATAGATCCAATTTCTGGTTTTTCTGACGGCATTTCAGCGTCCCAGCAGGGTATCGATTCGCTCTGGATCAAGTCACATACGTAGGTCTTCCGGACTCCTCTAATTCTCGAGGAGACTGACCTCAAAGGTCTCAGACGGGCTCGTACTCCCTTCAAGCAGGTGTCCGTGCGTCATACAATACCAGATACTACTGTGAGTTTTAATCCTAATTCCGAACTTGCCTTACTCATTACTAGAGCAGTCCAGGGAGACCTCGATGAGGGAAGGGGAACTGGAACAGTCACTGGAGCGTCCGTTTCTTGTAAAACCTGTTCAACCCGCAGAATATGCAATTTACTGACATAAGAACTCTGTAGCCGTACGGCCCTTGCCTCAAATTCTGACCCCGACAGCATGGAGCCCTTGTGGAAAAGACATTGTCCTAAACGTTGTCAGCGACGTCAGAATCTCGAACTCTGCGAATCGCGGCGCCGCCGGGGTTATCTCTCTCAATAGCATTCGAGTTCCGGTAAGGACCCATATTTCAGTGTCTATTATCGAGGCTCACTGTCGTCCTCCAGGCTGATAGCTTCGTTTGGAAGAAATGTTAGCTTTTTCTGCCACGACTCAGCGCGAGAAATGTACCCGCATTCTGTCCCTTTGTGTTATTTTTAATGCGGTTCCCATGTAAAGTATTTCATAAATGGTCAATAAATGGTCTATCTGTGACCTGGTTGTTCCTATGAAGAATGTTTCTCATGTCGCACGGGAGTAGAATCGTGCCTGTTCGACTTTTTCATAACTTTCTGTATTGTAGCAAATTCGTATTTCTCATTAGCGTTCTTAGAAAACATTGAGCGGATTCATATGTGAGATGAGAGGGACATCTTTTCCACGCTAGATTGACATATTCCGATTCAAGTGATATAGAGTAGATGTAGGGACTGGAATTAATGTCTTCATAATTGCCGTCCGTAGTCAGGGGCATGACACAAGATTTGTCCCTCTCGACCGTCTGGACAGTCTAGCGGACTCTGTGTCACTTTCGGCCAGTCTTAACCGCGTCCTTCAAGACTCGCATCGTTAGACCCTGTTGGACCGTATGTTCTTGGTCTCAATAACGCCGCAGGATTACTAACGCTCTTAAGCACACCGTTCGGGGCATCCGATGAGATTAAACGGGTTATTTTGGACATACCAGCCCGACGAACGGGTCTCCGTAAATCGACAGTGAGTACGCCCTGGAACACCAATCATGCTACCGCATGTCTCGAAGCTGTCAACACCGTCGAGGCTTGATTAGAATCTCGACAGTTGAGGAGAAAATAGATTTGATCGCCAGTCGGGGCGTCTGTACCTCCCCGTGTTAAGCTGGAGAATCCCCGCAAGATCCGAAGCACATGGAATGTTTTCGACGCCGCTCAAGACGCCTCGATGGATCATCGCAAACGGGGTTTGGAAAGGGTACTTACTCTAAATAGGGACAATGTTTGCAACGCAGGGGTTTACAAACATGAGAGAAAAGCACCGCCCCGTTCAGACGTTGATCTTCGACTTCAACGTGCCGTTGCCCTTGTCAAGGCAATCTGCTCAGCTATGTAAGGCTCCTACTCTCGGACTTCCATCTCCTAGCTCATATTGATATCCCATCTGAAAGCCTGAACCCTTGTGCCTGGAGCACTGACGTCGTTCTGCTTGAGCCTGAGGAAGACGTTCTGCTTTCCACCTCATTTTTTTTTTACGGCTGTTACTTAATTCCCTTCTCCTGTATCCGCCTGGAATCATCTCTCAGGAAGGTATGTAGACTCCTTCTCCTGCCTGTGCCTTTAATATACCAGGAGAATGTCACAGTTAACGTTGACTGGGGTCTTCAAGTCGCAATCACGATCACTACCAGTTCGATATTCCTCTCGTCATACAAATGAATTTTGGGAAACCCTCCATTTCTCCGAACCTAGGCGTTGCTTACCTCTCTACGTCCTCTCTACCTGCCCATCCCCGATCCATTCAAACTGCAAGAACACTTCATCGCCAATCAAACGCCGTCGACCACTGGCCGCAGTTGACGGGTTCGACGGCCGGCATCGTCAAATATTCAATGCCAAGCTCTTTGTCGGATGACTGAAGCGACCTTAATTTCGGACCGCTCACTCAAACGCGGTGCTCGGAAATTCTCTGGCATTTTACCATCCTCGGCCATATTCGCTTGGAACCATCCTCGACAATATATCCGCTTGAAACCCGCCTGGAATCGCGACCTCAACAGTCGTTCACATCATATGATGTATCTCCACGTCGAATCTAGCCGTCTTTTCTCTGCTGGTATTTGGCTTCGGTCTCGTTGTTCTCGTGCAGGAAGTCGAGCAAAAGACGCGAGTTGGGCCATGGGACTATCCGATTGAATCGTAACACGAAAATCGTTGTAGTCATCGGCATGCCTTCGCTCTGCAATTCCCCGATGCTCCGAATCGGTCTTTCCTCTTAGTGGTCTCGTGAAATGCTCGGGTGCTCAATATTCGCTAGAAGCTGGACAACAAGGGTCAGAGAACAATTTGTAGAGGTACTAGGGCCTTAATTTACACGGGATCGCCACGAAACGCCTCCAATCTGTCCATTACGCGTTTCATCTCGAGGACCTCATGCACGAGTAAATGAAATTCTGGTTCTCGGGTCACTTACCTTCACAACCTCGAGGCCGAAGGGGATCTCCGGCCGGATTTTGAGCACGCTTCTCTTGGTTCTGTCCGGTAGGCTGACAGGAATCAAGGAGGTGACAGACTCCGATGTCTGTTTCCTTCGATTACAAACCTGTGCCTCATGATCTTGGTGTGCGGACGCGCTGCGGTCTTCGACGCACTATTCGCACCTGTTTTCTTGGATTTTTGACGTTCCCGGAGCGCCAAATAGTTGCTTCTGTCGAGCATAAAAGGCGGAGCTGACCTCTCATTTTCTCAGCTTGCGGAGCACCCGAGTCTTCACTGAAATCATGTTCAATTTCTTTGCATCTGCTACAGTTCTCCTTACTTATGCCCTCGTTGCATCGGCAGTTCCTCAGCTTCCTCCCATTGTTATCCCAACTGTGCCATCTCCACCGGGTTTTAACATGTATGCCTTGTCTGATATGCAACAACCGTATAGCTGACCTTTCCCAATAGTACCAGCTTCGGTGTTAATGGCTCTGGGTGCCCCCCAGGATCCACATACTACGTGGTGAATCGTGAGTCCATAATCTGACAATCAGAGAATATCATACCTGACGGTTTATCACCATGTCTAGCGGACAGGACTGCCGTTACCGTCACTTTCAGTCAGTATTTCGCTCAGTCGGGACCCGGAATCCCGATTAGCCAGAACCGCAAGAACTGCCAGTTGACCCTCGGAGTCTTGTGCGTACCATATTTCCCCAGAGTCATACATTCTAATAATTTATCCAGCGTTCCTCCTGGCTTTACTTTCGGCATTGCCACCGTTGACTACGTGAGTTGGCCTCTGATCTTCCACTTCCGCCGTTCCGACGAACCCCACCCAGCGTGGCTATTACCAGCTTGATGAGGCCGTCACAGCTTCTCAGCAGTCGATCTACTATTGTGAGCATTTCATCCTTTTCTGTCCTCCGAATTAAAACTGGCTTTCTATAGTCCAGGGAGACCTCCAACAAGGTAAAAATCTTACGCTTTTGGTATGGCGATGCCATCATGGACCTTTATATTTCTAGCGACGGCACGCTCCGACCTCGTTGGACCCGTTTTCGGTGCGCCCCTTCCCTCGGTTTGTCACGCGTGCGAGACTGAATAGATGGAGTATTGCAGGCGACGATTACACGTATCGTGACACCTTCGACCTGGTTTCCACCGTCCAGGCGCCGTGCGGAGTTCCTTCCGTCTTGAACATCCAGAGCGACATTCGGACCAGCAACCAGAGGAACACCAAAGGCAGCGGTTACATCGCCACGGACTCGGTTGACACCCACCTCAACACGGTAAGCACTCCTTGTCTTCTTTCACTATAGACGGCCGAATAACCGCGGTCCCAAGACATTCAACTTCCAATGGCAAGTGTGCAAGTAACCAGCAGGCGTGAATGCTTCGGCAACCCGGAGACACGGACAATCGAAATCGTTTACGATGAGATAAGGACAAGAAATAATGTTTAATTGTGAATGAATCAATGACACTGTTAGTTTCTACCCCGATATTGTACCGAGATTTGAGAAAGAGGCCGGGGTACGCGAATCGGTTTAAAGTGGTCATGTATATTCATTGGTCATCCTTCGACTGTCGGCGGCATCGCCTCTGCACTCTCAACACGCCCAGCTGCCATCTCATCACAACAGCAGCGTACCGATGGCGTACCGTGTACTTGAACTCCTCTATCGATGAGTGCTTGGTGGTCTCTGACTTTCTTCCCTCGAAGACGTCTTCTTGTTCCCCATCCGTGGGCTTGTATTCGTTCTCCTGCTCCCCATCCTCTTCAAGAGTACGTCCGCCTGGTGGCGACTTGACCTTGATCGTTGCATACTTGTGTTGAACCAACTAGAGCTCGACTCCGGGTATGTATCCTCATCGCTCGCTAGGAGCGACTTGGGAGATGCGTAAACAGAAGGGCTTGCCTCCTCTATGGCAGGAATTATGTCTGCGGCTGATACACCAGGGTCCAACGAATCCTTCGCCCCGATAGGAGGATCCTGCTCACTGAACAGGGTATCATCCGAAGACCAGGTCGACGAACGAGGGCGATTTTGGATGGAGACTTCAGACAGCGTTTTGCCGGAATTGTCCGAGAAGCCACTCGTGGATGGTAAAAGGGGAAACGCCTCCTTTCGTTGCGTGCGGGTGGTGACCCCTGTTAAATGGGGACGAAGGCCCACACGTGGAACGCGGTTTCGGAGGCGGGGAGTGAAGGTACTTGTCGAATTGGACGCCGGTAGTCGTGGAAAATCGTACTCGAAGGTCGGTTCCTCTGTTTTAGAACACCGTTTCCGGCGATAACGAGAGGGGTGAGCGTCGCAATCTTCCACGAGGAAGGACGAGGAAGAAAGGGTATTGAAGGGGTAAAGAGTCTCAGGCGTGCGAAAAATGGGGGAGGATTGTGTTGTGTTTGAAGAGGAGAGCGACGGGAAATTCACATAGGAGGTGAAGGCACTGTCAAGATTGGATCCGAATGAAGAGGCTTCGAACAAGCGATTCTGCCGCTTCGTCGTGCTTCCACAAGCAGACCAAGGGTAGAGAGGGCTGGTCCTCTCGATAAGCTCCTCGTCTTCGGTGGCCAAAGCCGAAGATCGAGGCGTGGTGCGATAGCTGAACATGAGTGATAGGGAGATGTTAGTCAGTGAGTCTATGATGCGTATCGTCAGTGTTACATTACCGCGAGAGTATACCCCAACGATTTTTCACTCACATTGTTAGGCGGTGGGTCGTCTGTTCTGACGACTCTGCTCATCACCACCCGTCCGGCAGCGGGTTTTAAGCGCACAGTGAAACCGCCTAGACATCCTCGAAAAGGAGCTAGCCTGGATTGCTATACCCAACATGGAGGGCGTGTTGTCGGAGAGCGAGTAATATACGATGTAGACATGCCCTCGCTTTGACGAGAGGTGAAAGGGACCAATGTTGCCGTACGGACGACCGGCGCTTAGGTACAAGCGCCACTCGAAGCGCATTTCCTTTTTTGGTGCGATCGCGCGTTGCCATCACCAACAGCTGCCTTCCCCGTTCGATCTTAGAATTGGAAGAGGTCAAAGCACATTTCCGCATTTCTTAATATTTTTCTGACTACTTTCCTTTCAATGATGGACTAAGATGAAGCCACGGCGCACGTACAGCAAGGACATCTGTTGAAATCTACTTACTTCCGGCTTTAGTCCAGGTGATACAGCTTTCTTACTAAGTAGATCACGCAGTCGAATTGAATATTTTGATCTTACGCTAAATTCAGCTTTGCTGGAACGCTGTTGCGTGTCGGTAGCGAGAACTCTTGATCTGACCTCCTGGCAAATCACATTTCGCAATGTTTCATTTCTCTGTCACTTATTTAACCGACTGGCCTCATTTACGCCTTAGGGAACATTCCTAGAATTAATGTAACATTTTCCCTCCACGAAAGCCTGGTTTTCGAAAAAAAATAGGTCAGCCTATAGCAATTTAGGAGTGCCTTTCCCTGGGTTCACATCGACTCGTTCTGACATTCTCGTCCCCTATGGCACCTTGGAAAATTAACCTCTAAATTCAGGAATCATCCCAGATAATGCGTCTACCTCTCCACTGTACATACTTAGCTCAATTACGAGGAAGGGTTGAACAAAGTGAAAACACCGCTGCTTATCTTATCTTATCTCTTGTGCGTAACGCAGGCAACCGAACTAAACTTCTCAATGTTGAACTCGCTTTCGACTTGTCCTTCTTCAAGTTCCTGTGTTCCTTTGTCTGCTGGGCCTACGAGTTCCTCGAAATCCCTGGCCCAGTACCGTCGAGGCTCTGGCCATGTGTCTGTTTACAACCTCGGTCCCCGGACATGGCGGGAATTCGAAGTTGGGAAGAGAATATGCCACCCCAGTACGTCGATCTAATTGCTTGAACTCCTCACATTCATCAAGAATCGTGATTGCAAAGCCTGTTCCACGTTTATTTTGACGTTTGTGGGGATATCTTCAATTACTTATGAACTCTACACTCTACAGATGTACGAGAGGCGTTGAGTCCAAGTCAAGCAGCTAACAAGTTCCTTCGAAAACGCCATGCTGAAGGTCATCTTCAGACTCGTTCTTCTTGTTCTTGTCGTCTCGCTGGCAGAAGGTCAGGGCCATGACGGTCAGCTTTCTGGGATTGGGAAGGAGTTCAACGCCTCTATCATCCTGCCTGGATCACCACAGTACGCGGCGGTCACCCAGCCTTGTATGTTCGTTGCAGCGTCATCCTATGTTGTCATTAACACGTGTTTGATCCAATAGTCAATCTTCGCTTCAATTTCAAGCCCGCTGCAGTCGCTTTTCCAACTAATGCCCAAGAAATCTCTGCCATCGTCAAACTCGCGAACCGAGTGAACCACCAAGTTGTCGCTCGTAGCGGAGGGGTGCGTTTTCAGTTGTGTGGATAACAAGATGTGCTCATTCCCTCCATAGCACAGCTACATCGCCAATGGCCTCGGTGGGAAGAACGGCGTTATTGTTGTGGACTTGCGCAACTTCCAGAAGGTCAAGGTGGATGATAGAGCGGGAACTGCAGTAATTGAAATGGGGACTCGGCTCGGCGATATTGTAACCTCACTGGCAGGGCATGGGAGAGCATTGCCCCACGGGACGTGTGCCTACGTGGGTATCGGAGGTCATGCGAGTGCGTTTGCATCTTCTCTCCATTTTTTACCGGCTTCCTGATTTCGTTTGGAGCATACGGTGGTTATGGGTTCACATCGCGCCTCTGGGGCCTCACAATCGACACCGTCCTTTCCTTTGCCGTCGTCCTCGCTAATGGGACCATTACCACCGCGTCGTCGAAGGCCAACCCCGATTTGTTCTGGGTATGCCCTCCCACGTTCTAAATTTTCATATAGCTTAAACAAACATCGAAATAGGCCATGCGTGGAGCAGGAGGGTCCTTCGGCATCGCTACCGCCATTACTGTGAAAACCTTCGCAGCACCCTTGACCGCGACCATTTTCTCCTACAACTGGCAGTTTACCGCCGCAGGTGCTGCTGCTGCCCTCGGCGCGTTCCAGACCTTCGGCCTCACCGCCAACCTCCCAGGCGAAATTGCTGCAGAAATCGTCATCACCCGCGGAAATGTCCAGGGAAACATCACTATTGGCCTCGCCGGCGGATGGTACAGGCCAATTAGCCAGCTCAACGCAACTCTGAAGCCGTTCCTCGACCACATGCCACCTCCGCGGACGATTACCTTCGATACCGGGGATTACCTACACAGTGCGACTAATCTCGCCGGAGGTTCGTTGGATACGAGCGCGCCGCCTGGGACCGACACCTTTTACGCGAAATCGTTGATGACGCCGCAGAGCGTGCCGATGACGCAGAAAGCCCTGCTAGCTTTAATGAACGTAATCGCAAATGACGGGTTTACGACGCCAGTGGTAAGTTCTACGCCTAGTCGACCTCTTGCTGTGTCGCTTAATTTTCGTGCTAGGGGTGGTGGTTCTTCCAGGTTGAGCTTTTTGGAGGAAAGAACTCTGCAATCAACGCGGTCAAAAAGGAAGACACGTCTTTTGGGTATCGAGACACCCTCTTCACGATTCAGTTCTACGCATCTTCACCCGGAAATAGGCCACCGTACCCGAGGAGTGGCTTTACCTTCCTCGACAATGTGGTAAACTCTGTAGTCAACGCGATGCCGAAGGATTGGCCATATGGGTACGTTTCTCATCCTCTCCTTCCAGACAGGCGTTCATTTACATCATTTCATCAGCGCATACGTGAATTACGTGGATGATAGACTCGACGATTGTGAGCGGCTTTCTCTCTAGTGATTATCTAACCAACTGTCGTCTTCGTCATCAGGGCAAAAAAGATACTACGGTGCCAACTACGCGCGGTTGCGCCGTCTGAAGGCGATTTATGACCCCCGAGGCCTATTTTCGTTCCCGACGTCCATCTAGGTTTAAAGCCATGTCCATGGACTATGAACACGAACAGCCCGTATCCTCTTCTGCTTCATTGTACAGGAATTTTACGGTAGCTTCGTCTCGATCGGCATGGCCTGTGGCCGGGCCAAGCGGCCCGTTCTTGTAAATAAAGCGGATTGAACAAACAGACTGATGCATCTTTCACATCTCTCAAACCTCAACAGGAGCGAGGTGGTTTTCAAGAACAAGGGTGTCGCGTGCACTGTCGAATGTCAGCCCGACCTGAGCACTGAGCCCTTGAGCAACCAGCACGGAGACTAGTTCCCGCCTTTTGGCCCTAGGCCGGTTCATCATGAGGTGCTATTGTTACGTTTACTCCTCATGTCTTTACAGGGCCCCGTACCAGCGGTGTCTGGTGGATGATAAACATCCGATGAAGTCAAAACCCGACGCGCAAGAATGAAAGAATTACCTCGTTCGTTGACGCCACGTCTTGTTGAGGTTTTCATGCCGATTTGAAAATTCGACGTCACCCTCAACGAAATACGGCTTGCAACCTAAACTTGCAGCGAATCTCAGCCTTTTGAGCAAGGACCGAAACTAGAATTTTTGTTTTATCCACTGGATATAGCATTCAGCTCAAGACTGATGTTATCCCGACGCCCGTCCATACCCTACCTCTCCGCAGAGGACGGACGGCGAGCAGCAAGTCCTTGCATTCCCCCCATAAGTCCCATCAAGCGCGCCCCACAACCCGAAGTGACGTCTAACAATAGACCAGCCGAGTCTTACTATGGCTATTTTGGTCAGAATTTATGGAACGCAGGCCTACGGTGCTGAGCATTTCGTTTGGTGCGTATTCAGAGTATGTTTCACTGCGCGGCATGGCTGATTTTATCTGGGTTCTAGATCCGTGTTTTCTATATAATATGTCGTTCATTTGACGAGTTTAAGGCCAGAAATCCCCCACCAGACTCAAACCTGCCATGGTATCTCTTCTCGGGAAAAATTTCCTCGCCCTCGCTGCTCTAGCGAACGTCGTTCTCGCGGACTTCATCTCCGAGATTACCGGACAAGGCTTCAAGGTCTTGACACCAGGAAATCCGCAGTATTCGAACGCTAGCACAGCTTGTAAGCCCTCGAGAGCTTTTTCTATGTCAAAATAATGACGACTGAGTGATTTTGTAGTCAACCTTCGATTCACATTCCAGCCGGCTGCCATTGCATATCCCAACAACGCTCAGGATGCCTCGACAGCGATGAAGATTGGCGCTCAGTTTGGCTACAAAGTTGTTGCTCGCAGTGGGGGTGTACGTACGCCTTTCTGTCCTTCCTGACTTTCTTCGCATCACTCATTTATTCGACGATATATAGCATAGCTATATCGCCAATGGTTTGGGAGGAAAGAATGGTGTGCTCGTTCTCGACATGAGCAGTTTCAACGCCGTTTCTGTAGACCCTTTGACGAACGTCGCGACAATCGGTCCTGGAAACAGGCTTGGAGATGTCGCGCTCGCGCTGAACAACCACGGTCGAGCCATGCCGCATGGGACTTGTCCCTATGTTGGGATCGGAGGCCACTCAGGTATCTTCCTTCGGGCAGTGGCAGATAAAAGCTTGACGACATTCTTCAGGCTATGGAGGGTACGGATTTACGTCCAGGAAGTGGGGGTTGACGGTGGACACCATCGTCTCCCTTGACGTTGTTTTGGCCAACGGAACCATTGTGTCTGCGTCTAAGACAAATTACTCTGATCTCTTTTGGGTCCGTCTTGTCCTCGTCTTGTTTTTCCTTGAGTTTAAGTTCACTGTCTCACAGGCACTGCGCGGCGCATCAAGTTCATTCGGGATTGTCACTGGCATCCATGCCAATACCTTCGCCGCTCCGCCATCAGCGACAGTCTTCGAGTACAATTGGGATCTCTCCACCTCTGACGCCGCCTCTGCTCTTAGCGCCGTCCAGAAATTCGTACTATCACCCTCTCTCCCGCAAGAGTGGGCTGGAGAGCTTGTACTCGGCGCAGGATCGTCTTCTGGGCGTGTCGCGTTTGGCCTGACTGGCGGGTGGTATGCTCCAGCGGTGGAATTCAACGCGGTCATTCAGCCGCTACTGAAGACGCTCCCAAAGCCGCAGAGTCAGAAGCTGACGGTTGGGACCTATATTAACAGCGTTCAGTATCTCGGCGGTCTGGGTCGCTTGAACACGACGAGCATACCTGACTCGCATGACACGTTCTACGTCAAGTCGTTGATGACACCTGAGGCGAGCCCGATTAGCAACCAGGCAGGCCAGGCATTCATGACCTATCTCGCAAACGAGGGATTTCGTGCGAATACTGTGAGCTCTATGACTTCCTTTCTCAGGTACTGTTCGCGCTAAATGTGCATGTAGGATTGGTTCGTGGAGGTGGAGCTGTATGGAGGGCTCAATTCAGCTATCAACAACGTACCTTTGAATGCAACAGCATTCGCCCACCGTAATTCGTTGTGGACGATCCAATTTTACACGTCGGCGCAAGGGGGTGTCCCTCCATTCCCGAAAGAGGGATTCACGTTGCTTGACGGTGCGTCTTTGACCAGATGTTGAGCGAAATTCCTATCAAAAAAACTCTCGCTTACCTTATTAATAGGAATGGTTAATAGCATCGTCAACAATAGTCCAAAGGATTGGGACTACGGGTAAGGTTTCTTTCCCTGACTGCGTAATTCCTTCGATTACTGATGTTTTTAAAAGGGCGTACACTAACTACATCGATGATAGATTGAAAAACTGTACGTACCTCTTCGAAAGCCCTTCATATCTCACCCAGCCTTCTTACTTTAGGGCAATCCCTCTACTATGGAGAACACTACAAGACGCTGAAGAGCCTTAAGCAGCGATACGATCCACAAAACACCCTTGACTTCCCCACGGCTATCCAGGAACCGCAGTGACATTGTTGTTTTACTACGGACAAATGTGCCACCATTCTTAGTTCAGCGCGTCGCCTTAATACTCTGTATAGATATTAATGGCCTTGCGCCAACGTTTACTCATTTGGAAAAATGAATATTGACGACGATTTAAAGAGAGCGAGCAAAATGGGCCTGAAAAGATGATGGGAAGCGTTTGCCCCGTTGAAGGAGGCCCTTAAGCCTGAGCGTCGGGGGTAGTCCGATGTCATCAATGCCATCTGGCTCTGGGCCGTCCTATAACAAGCCAGGGTATGAGCCGCATTATTCAATTTCGACGTCGACGGCTCCGACCTAGAAATGCTGGAAGACGGGCGAGAAATTGAATTAACATAGTGTATTGATCGTCCAGGTCGAGATTAGATATAGAGCCCATGGAGGTCCTGTAAACGCGCTGTAAATCGAGCGAAGACCAGAAGAGAAGCGATTCAGTATCCAATAAGCCTGAGTTCGCGCCGTCCTCAGCTAGTCCTGCTGGAGAAAAGACGTCAACCTTGAGCTTTATGTCGAGAAAATAGCTGAATCGAACAGATGTAAAGCATATAGCTAAAGACGTGATTCATGCATTGAGAGACGGAAGATAAGTAATGGCATGGACATTTGCCGCAGAAAATCACGGCGGAATATCCTATATGCTGAGGTGATAAAGCGTCGAACGGTCGAATGCCTTAACCCAGACTTGAGGAGGGGAGGAGGCGAAGCCGGCGGTCCTTCGATGTGGTATTCGGAACCTCACCCTCAAGGTGGGTAATCAAAGCAGATGGAAAAGAGCCCTTCGACGCAAATCTTGCTTTCCTGAAGCACTTTCTGTAGGAAGCGCATACGAGAACAGTGTCGCAGTAAACGATTCGCATGGAATTTCCAGCCTTCGAATTCTACCGGCTGCAGGAGTAGTTTCTTCATGAGAAGCTGATGGATTTTCGCGGTGTTAAATAGCGACGACCCCGCACCGTTGAATGGCTAGTGCACAGGCACCGTCACGGAGGACTGAGAGGCTTGAAGTGTCGACATCGAGCTCCCGTTCTGATGTCTTGTGTGAATTGCGTGTTGAATAGAAGGATTGCCGGAGGGAAGCTTGGATTGCACAGAATAACGATAACATTGACAACATAGATTGAAGAAATACGAACAAGGATGCGGCAGGTGGAGTGGACGGAAGTATATTCAGTTTTCGATGACAGGGCCATCACTGACTTTTCCAACGATGTTGTAGCGCTTCCTGCACACAATCAGTCCGAGGATCTCGAAGAAAAGCAAGCCACGTACGAGAAGAATGCATGCCAATCCTCCAACACCTTCCGGTCCTTCTCGTCCAGCGTGCTGTAGTCCGCCACCGCGTCCTCCGGCTTCAAACTCGACATGCCCAGTCCCCGCGAGCCATCCTTCCCCGCAAAGATGTTGTAGGACTTTCCTGCCCCATACACGTCGCTCTTATGCGTAACGTCGAATATTGTACCTAGATGACGTAGTGTGAGTGACTCGTTCGGCACTGCGCAAAAGCTGGTCCACGACGGAGAATCCAACGCGAATATCGAAGGGAAACTAAAACTTACCTTTGATAGCGACATAGATGGGCTTCGACGGATCTGACCCATCGTACTGCTTCAGCTCTTCCGTCGTGAATGGGTCGTCCTTTGGAGGTGCGAGGTCAGTTCTGGTGGACTGCATGATGCTCTTCAGCGGTTTCTTCGTGTCTTTTTCAGCTGGTGTTTGTTCAGCAGGTGAACAAAATATAGGGAGGAACCGCGTCCTCAGTGCAGGATACCTGTGGGAGAGGAAGAGATAAGAAACGGGAATGAGGAAAGCGAGTGCATATTTCACGAGTGAGAGCATAGTTCGGCAATCGCCGACCCCGAACACCCTGTGCAAGCTCGATTTGTCATTTTCCCACCCTTCCTCCGTTGTCGCTGAGCGGGCATGCCGACGACGCCTCGAAAGTCATTTACCACTCTACGTAAGTACTCTCTGGGTCTAATTTTCACAGAAGCTCTTACTTTAATGCTCTCTTCACCTGAAACGTCGCGCTCTCTTTTCTCGAGACGTTGACTTCGACATCCACCTCCAATGACGTAGTGGCCAGGAAATGTGAATCAAATTCGCGACACTGCCAGACGAAACAAATACAAGAGATCCATAAAAAGTGAACAAAACCATGTAAGTATGATAACCCTCTTTCAAAGACGATCCAAGTACATGGCAATACATCGAGGCGGGGAATGCGGCATTACGAAACGAAACCAGGGTAACCTGACAGACAGGACATCAGCGCCCAGGCCAACAGGGTGTATCTGCACCCCGGGCGAAGCTAGTCTATCGCAACGGGCAGCTGAGCGGACTAAAAGCCCACACTTCAGGTGCCCGCCAGACTAGTTCGACCGGCGGTGCCTATACACTCTCGGTCTAAGAACTGAAGAGACTCACTTGGGGGTGTATGACTTCTTCAGGGAGTGGGCGCAAGGAGAGCAACAGTTGCGCAAGTAGCACTGCAGGTCCCGAGAGCCGCGTTGCAGGCCAGGATGGCAGGAGGGGCTAGAGGCGCAGCGACGGTGCCGAAGGTGACGCCGGCGGCGGCATAGCATGCTACGACGACTGCGTTACAGCCTGGGAGGTAAACGAATATGCTTGTCAGTTCACACAGTGCAGCTTCGACAACGTCGTACTCACCAGTCTGGCAGATGCCGTAGGCGATAGGGCCTGCATATGTGGAGGGTACAGCGAATAAGGCGAGAACGAGCGGGGCAAGTGAGAGGCGCATGGTGTGAGCGTTGCGAGGTACTAGGTCGCGGTGGTGGTGGTGGTGGTGGTTGGGAGTAAAGCGTGGGTGCGCGTGGGTGCGGGTCAGCACGGTTTATATACACAAGAATTGACGTGTGTGCCAAATAACGGCAAAGTGGCGTGGTTTTGAAGCGGGCCTCGAGCCTTCGACGGGGTGATACAATCAAAGCTTGTATGGAATGAATAACAAAAATGGCTCGCCTAATCCTCGCTGGCGGAAAGGAAGCACTAAGGGAATCGTGCACGAGACATGAGGCTATTCGAACTTAGGCCATGAGGGCCTCAGGCCTCAGAGTTTTCGGATTCTCACTGATCGAGATAAAATGCAAGACCAGTCGTCCGACAGGTTCTCGCGGGGAAACGTTGGTGTGGTGTATACGCATCAAGAATTCTTCCTCTACAATAGAACCTGATTAACGAGATCAGATTACGCATAAAAAATAGCAACGGTAGGCAATGCGTATTGCTGCGATAACTTTGCGACCTGCGCCTACTTGGTGTCTCGCGGTCGGAAAGTATCAAGGTCCCCGCAGGCGTTCCGCCAGAGATCAGGCCATGCAATGTATCAGGGTGAAGTAAGATTTAATGAAGGTCGCATTCATTTGGCGATAGGATGATCGCTTTAAGTAAAACTATCCAGGAAGGACTATGGGGCCAAAGAAGCTTGTGCCATGGTTCAGCGACGAGCGCGAATATCTAGAGAGATAACATGCCTTGATTTTGATTGTAATAGTCTCTCGACTTATTTATGACACTTCGAACGGCGTTAATCCGTCATGAAGCGGGAGGAGCCGTACTCAACGGGATGCTTTCCTCCCTGGGGTCTTCATAGCGCAGTCGCGGGCGCAGTCTTTTAGCAGCGGAGCTCTTGACGATCTAGAAGTCGATCGGGCGCGGAGACGAGCAGACGGTGTTGCCTCAGGAAGGTAGCGGCACCTTTCCGGAGCCAACAAATCAAGCCTTCGAGACGAGCGGGAGACGCTGTAAGAGGTCTTGTAAGTCTCCTGGGTTCTGAGACGAAAATCGAGTCCTGCTCAATGTTACTTGCTTTCCGCCATTCTTGTCGACATCGCGGGCGATGCAGGTAGTGGATATCGAGGAGCGTCGTCCAGAGGAATATGGAAATAGCGAATAAGGCCGCATCCGGACGTCCGCGAGGAGTAGAGGCGTTGAAGATGTCGGCGTATGAGCACGTTGGACCACATACGAGTACGAGAGTTGGCCGCCGGGTCGAACTATTTAGGTCACGATCACGTGGTCGTTATCAAAACGCGACGCGTCGCTTAGCTCAGCTGTCCTTTTCAATTCTAAACCACGTCCTCGTCTCTAAGTCAGACGCTGCTCGGCGTTGTATGCCTCGAAAGCGACGTGCTCATAGTTACACGAGCTACTGGGGGACCGTGCATTGGCGGCGCACGATTCGCGCAGGTTTCTTGGAAGACTGGGGGTCATCGAAGTCAGCTGAGCTACGCCCCATCTTCAAATTTCCAAGTTTTTTAGTTTCTCCCCTCACGCTGCCCAACCTTGTTAACTGACTCCAGGCTTGGACGAAAGGATTTCTCTCGACTGAATTTAACATCTTCTCTAACCGTTTCCCATAAGCCCCGAAACCTGGAAACTGTGATAGTCCACGGCGTTGGTCATGCGAAATCCGACTCGAACAGACTTTTCTCAGTGGCGACGTCTTCTAAAAGTTACTCTCAAGAACCTGCAGCCCAGCAACCGCCAGATCTCTGTCCTTCTTTGTCGCTGTCAAGGCATTGACGCCCACAACACCATGAAACGCAGATTTTTCCCGATAATTCCTGGCGGGTTATTTCACGCTCTCAGTGCCACACTTAAACGGTGAGGTGAGGTGCCAGTGTCAAATTGTTGTCCTAGAAATCGCTGACCGTCACGACGTTAGACATTCCATAGTTCATCATTCATCATTCAGCTTGGACTTGTCCGAAGTCCTATGTTGAAGTCATCAATCTGGGATAACAAACGGTATCCCGAGTGCCCGCTATAACATTTTCAAGATCTTGCTTCCCATATCACTCTTTCTCAACTTTCAAGAGAGGACGTTTGATAAGGTTCAAGGACTTTTTGGGTGCCCAATCATCTCGGCCTTGGTCTCAGGCACAGTGCCCGGTACCGAGCCGGAATTCCGGTACCTTCGTTATCTGAATCACCTCCTTCAAGTTTCCCGCCCGTTCCTCTCCACCAAACCGCCATGATCGACACCCTTCCCCAAGAGATAATCGACACGATTGTCGCCACATTTCCTCAGATTCTGACGGAAAACGACGCTAAACAGTGCCTGAAAAGCTGCGCTCTCGTTTCAAGATCGTTCAGCCATCCTGCGAGGCGCTGTCTGTGGTCCAAGATCCGCCTAGCTGGTCATCCAGCTGCCTGCGCTAGCTCTAGGGAATTTTCTGGGGAACAAATTACAGTCAAGATGTTCAACGCATGTTTCTCGAGACGGACGTGGTCGCTTTCGTGCGCACCCTCCATATCGATGTGGGCGAAACACGAAAGATTCTGGACGAGGAAAACCAGATGCATTCCGTTCTCAACACACTCGCTTCTGTGGGCTCCAACATAGATACATTCTGGATACCTGGTCACCGACAACGGCCCTTCAGGTGGAACGACGTGCCCACCAAGACGGTTCAGTCCCTTATCTCGCTCCTCAAACAATCACCCAGTCTTGCGAACCTGCGTTTTTCCAACATCAAGAATCTTCCTTTAAGTGTACCAACGTCAATACCCACAATTCGCTCTCTGGAACTTAACAGGACTGTACTTGCCCTATCCGATGGGCCCAGAGCACCAGGCCGATTTCCCGCTTCCCCGCTCCATTGTCTCGATTACTTGTGCATCCACAGATTCATCAATAGGCTCGTTGCCGACTACCCTTCCCTCATCACCGAAAACATAATTAGGTTTAAGGTCTCCGTCTTGGACCTGAATGAAGCGCATTTGGCATGGAAGATCCTCTCGAACACGTCAAGATATCTTCGGTGTCTGGATCTGTGCGTTTCTCTCTTGGATTTTTCATTCTACATCTAATTATCATGTTGACAGAATGCTGAGGGTGGACATGCGCTTCCTCGCGACCTCTCCCATCAATATCGGCGATCTATCTGCTCTACGTACTCTCAATCTGTACATCCAAACAGGCAGCCAAGCGACAATCCCTCCGCTGGACGATGTCTTCAGCCTCCTCGACCCCCGCTCACAATCAACATCGCTTGAAAGACTAAACATATTCTTCAACTGCGTGGCCCCTCACACTCTGCCCATATCTCTCATAAACACCGCCGACGAGAGCTGGCGCTTGCTCCATCTCGAAATATTGCGCAAGAAGCATCAACGGCTCAAGGGCATCACAGTGGATGTTGATCTGCACGTTAACCCTAGCGGGACCGTTCAGAGTCGCCTCTCGCATATGCAAGTAGTACTGAAGGATTGCATTCTGGCAGCGATTTGTGTGGCGGAGCGTCCGCTTCCCGCACCACGGGTGTGTGCCTTTGATGTACACGTGAAAGCGAGGAGCTAGCTCTGGTACGTGTCTCTAACTCTTGCCTCAATTCGTTTCTCATTCATTGCCAGATCCTAATAACTTGCCATCGAATTGTCCTTTTCCTGGATCAGCTCTCCACTTCCGTCGGTTTCATTTATCTTTTGACCCAAAGAGAAGACGAGGCGTCTCCTGTTACGAACGGCCTGATCCTCTTGAGGCGAAGGGCTTGAAAGGCTGTGAACACAATGGACCATTGCTCGATCGAATTTAGGGATGCTTCAAGTTCGTGATCGTTTCCTGGGCATCGTTCAGCTGAGAATTCTTTGTCAGTTCATTCGTTCCACCAATCCATCTTTGTAACGCACGTCGAGTAAGTCGCGCTGACAAAGATAGGTTAGTCATCCACTGTCTCTAATGTGAAGATTGCTGGGCGTCTACAGCCATAATTATCGTACGAAGACTTCCAGATACAGATGAGGAACAGCTCGCCTCGGGCTTCTCGGAAAGATGAATAAACCCACGAGATTTCAAGATGCGATGGGCACCGCTTGTTCAACACGCGAAGTTCCCGCTACTTATAAGTGTGAACTTCAGAAATCGAGAGCGGTACAACGAAAACCACGTCGTACCAGTATTCAATGCCTCCTTCCAAACCAATCCGAGTCGGCTTCATTGGTCTCTCGACCTCAGGGTGGGCTGCCGACGCACTTGCGCCCAGCCTAATCTCGCTCAAAAACGACTATGACCTCGTCGCCCTATCCACATCCTCTGAGGCGTCCGCCGCGGTCTCGGCAGCGAAATACTCAGCGGATGTTGGGCATCCGATTACCGCGTACTCTGGAGACACGTCGAAGATCGCCAATGACCCCCAACATCGACCTCGTCGTGGTCTCGGTCAAGACCCAATGCACAAGCAGCTGCTGACGCCGGTTATCGAGGCGAAGAAGGATTTCTTCATCGAGTGGCCAGCTGGGAGGAACTTGCAGGAAACGCAAGAGTTTGCCGAGCTGGCAAGGAAGAATGGAGTCAGGTCAATCGTTGGACTGCAAGGTCGGAGTTCGAGGGTTGTTGCCAAGGTTCGTACCTGTTCCGTATGAGACGAATGGTTGATCGAAGAATTCCCAATCGCAGCTCAAGGAAATCATTGCCAGCGGAAATATCGGAGCTGTTCGCTCGACGAGCATCGTAAGCTAATGACAACTCATCGTAACTTTCAAAAGGCTCACTCTCTTTGCTATCAGATTGCCACTCTTCCGCAGGAAGGAGAGTTTTGGCCACCACTCGTTCACGAGGGCATGGCCTACACCATAGTCGAGAGCAACGGTCAGTATTTGCCCAACTTAAGAGATCAAAAAGCATGCTAAACTCACGCAACATCAGGAGCGACCTTGCTCAGCATCCCGATTGGGCACATCCTCGATAACTTTGCCCAGATCATGGGCGACTTCGCGTCCGTCAACGCTACATCCACCCTGTTCCACAAAACAGCGACCATCATCGATGTCAAGACCCGCCAGCCAACGGGTAAGACGCTGCCCATGACCCACCCAGACCACATTTCCGTCTCAGGCGTGCTCAAGTCCGGCGCGTTCGCCAGTCTCTTCTGGCGTAGCGGGTACAAGATGACCCCAGGCCGCCGACGGTTCTTGTGGGAGATCGATGGTGACGAGGGATCAATTAGGGTCGAGTCAGACCATATGCTGGGGCCGATGATGTCGATGTTCGACCCGGCGATTTATGTCAATGGAGAGAAGGTTGAGTACGTGGAAGAAGGAACAGTTGGAGGGTCCATGCACAACGTGACGGAGGCGTGGAAGGCATTTGTGTCTGGGGAGGAGGGAAAGTACCCGACGATCGATGATGCCGTGAAGAACCATAAATTGTTGGCTGGCATTAGGAAGAGCTTGGATGAGGGACGTGTTGTCCGTTTCGAGTAGGAATTCAATGACAAGGTCCTAGGAAGTATTAAACATTACGAATGTCAGAAATTTACAGAAAGAAAGAAGTGCGAAATTTAATCTACCTTCAAAGTTCGGAGAGCATCTTACTACATGAAGTTCGACGTACTCCTCTCGAGCAGATTTCGCAAGCGATTCTTTGGTAAGGGCATCTATTGAAGGCCACGACGCTTCGTCAACGCCGATAGTTTCAAAAGTTTCCGGTTGAGCAACTTGGGCCGACGAAGGCGATAGCAGTGATAGGTGGTCTGGAGGAAGGAAGGTTGGAGCACAGCCACATGATGTATAACATTTCGACTTTCTCTCGAACCACACCATCGTCTCCCCAGAGCTCTCACTTCTCGGTTTGCCCAGCACGCACGCCGACCTTCTGCAATCCGAGCTCGAACGCGCTCCAATATTGAGGTTAGAGGCCATACATGCTCGTAGATGCTGTGTACACTCACCCGCCGGCGCACCATCTCCAGCTCGCCATCCCCTCGACCTTGAATCCACATGAAAATGACACGGAACACCGTTAAGTGCTCGTACCTCAACGAGAGACTTACTTCTCATCTCCATCCTTCGTCAACACTCGTTCTCCACCCCGTCGAAGTCAAGATCTTGTTCGAGAGCCCACTACGCAGAGGTAAGAACCCGGATTATGTATCGATGATGGCACTGACATTCTTCATATATGCCCAGCTCGCGATGTTCAAGCTCGCGCTTGTAGCCACCGACATTGAGGAGAGAAGGCTTGGAACAGGAAAGTAAGGTCAGCATGACAATATCAAATAGACTGTTTGGACTCGCCTCGTTGATCTGATAGCAGTCAGTACTGACCTCGGACCCCCGTCTCCATCTGTCGTTGGTCTCGATGAGTGGTGATGCCCTTTTCGCAGCGTGTTGCTTACGGTCAACCTAGGGTGTCTGCTAACAAGATGACTATAGGTTCTCCGTGCGTCCAACCCATCGACATCCGACGCCCTCGCCAAGGACAGCTGCCCCAAAGGGGTTCTTCCCTGCACATAACCATACTTATTTCATCAAGCGCCTACGGCCTCGCAGTCGCGAAGCACGTTACGGATTCGAGGCCATCAAGGTCGGTAGATTGCGATACAAAGTAAGTGTTTTACCTGGGTTCTGGCAGTCGCAATTTTCACTAATAGCAGACGCTGGTTTTACTCGTTAGGGCGTCGACATGATGTTGAATGTTGCGCTTGATTCCGGTGTTAGGCTAGGGTGGATCCCCGACGATGTCAAGTTGCGGGGCCGTTCGTAATTGTAGTTACGGCCTGTACAGAGGTATGTAGTATAGCTGAATACAATGCCAAAAAAAGAGTGAATGCATTGCAGGAGATGTAAGCGAAGACCGCAAAGACGCAGTGTAAAGACGTGTGAGACTGTCTTTGGAAAAATGCCCCGATGCCTCTGAAAGACGTTGAGCGTCTCCTAGAGACGTGTACCTTACCCGCGAAAAACATCCAAAGACGACCCCACTGTTTACCTGATCTAGCAGCCAGAACATTCAAGACTCTGGCGGACAGCTGGTTGAAGATTGTAATAACTGCGTAACATCATTGTGCGTATTAAGAGGCTAGCTACACTGGATGGTAACGAAAGAGAAGTATTTGGCAATGAGAACGAATCTTTCTCCAAGTAATTATCGCCTTGTATAATAGCGGATGATATGCAAACTCGAATAGTAACAGCAGAGAGTAAATTTGGCCTTGACTGTAGAGAATAATCTCTGCTTTATAAGGCGGCTGACTAGATCGCATGTTTCTTCTTCCAAGCCTTGATTCTAGGGTGGTCGTGCATCACCTCTGGCCTCTCGTGGTAGCGGAGACCGGTTTTAAATTCAAGCTCGTGTTCTTTAAAGCCTAGATCACAGACACGATGAGCAGCCTGCTACATGCACTGACACGACGCGGACAACAGACCTTGTCGTTCAATGAATGTTTTACGAATTTCCTTATCGGCCTCTTCCTCTGGAAACTGGGGTACACCCGGGTTAGAACCTTTCATTCCTTCATCCCCCACGAACCCGCTCGTCTTCAAGATCGCCATGATATATTCCGTCGTATTGTCGCCCCGAAGCGGCCCATAGGGCAGTAAAAGGAAAGGAAGGCTCTTTCCAAAGTGCTCGCTGATTGCTTGGGCAGGATAGTGGCGTTCGACTCTGTTTAGTTCCTCCTCCGTGTTCTTGCCACGGATTCGAACGAGCCAAGCAACAGCGGATCCATGTTTCATAGAATAACCGCCAATACGAACATAGACATGAGGCGCTTTCTCGGTTGAGGGGTCTTTTGCGGAAGACTGGGATTGTGGTGGTGGGTTTGACGCCATGACTAATGCAGAGAATATTGTTGATGGGTACAAGTCGGGCGCGTGGCTCTTATATATGTCCCGCTTCAACATTCCAGTCTGGAAATGGTAGGTGTTGACGATAATTTGTACCTGTGGATGTTCAACATCCACAACTGGTCGACAAAAAGAACAATCAAGAGTATAAGACCTGTGGGCATTATCTTGCAATGGAGGAACGAGACGAGGTTACAGGAGATTCGATTAGTGTGAAAGGGGCGGGACTTTAGCCTCTCTGATCATTGGATCATTTCGAAATTATTGACCATTCTCCGGGTTGTGGGACCCACTGGGGCTGTCGCTCTTGTAATTTGGTGCTCTGACTAAATATGTAAGCCGAGACGGCCCATGTCCAATTTGACCTCGTCAGCTCGGCAGTCTGTTTTTATGCGTCCGAAAGCTGTCCCCTCTCTCAGCGAACCATCGGCTAAGGTATTCGCAAAAAATGCATTTTCGCTAGATAGAATTCATGTCACTCACCGTGGGCCATCCACGAGTATCTTTTCCCTATTGTTTTATTGTGGATTCCGTTATACACGCCTCTCTGCAAGCAGTATAAGATGAGGGCAGAAAAAGATGGGCTTCAACAATCCAGCCTGCAAAGAGATGACCCGACTCTCAGAAGACATTCCATTCCCTGGTCAACTAGCGCATGAGCCTGCACCGCAGGCTGAAGCTGTTGTATCGGGTGTCGATGCTTGGGTTGTTTATCAGCTCAAAAACAACCTTCTACGTGGTGTTCACTACGAGAACCAGCTCTATGGACATTGGAATGCTTATCTATATGAATTGTTCCCGTCCAGAAGGCGCTTCATGATCACCCCACAAGCAATTATTCGGACACCCGTTGCCGGCGAGGGAGAACCTGAAGACATCGATGACGCTGATAGATCCTTTGGATCTACTGGGGCAATTTTTGAGTCCAGGAATCTTCGTAGGTACATTCTTGTTTGGTGGGGATGCAGATGACTCACCCCCGTTGCTCTAGCTGGCTTTGAGGAATGTATAAAATATCCCGATTTTGTTCCTTTCAAAGAAGTACCACAAGTGGACGGAGAAATTATTCACCATCCGATCACCATTGTGGAAGTCAAACGCGACCTGCAAGGTTTAGAAGATGGCCACAGCCAGATGGTGGGCTACATGACGACAGCGGCGCGCCATCGCAACACTCCTCGCACCTTACGCGGGTTCCTTTTGGGGGGACATCATCTGAAAGTATATACTATACAAACGGGGATTGAAGGTGCTGAACCTGAAGTGGGAGATCGTCGTGACATACTCGTGCCTCAGCAGGAGGAAGGCAGTTATGATATTGCACTGGAGCTGGCCAAATTAGCTGCAGAGCGCTGGAATGAGGTGGCAGCCTAACAGTGTGCGAGGAGAAGGCATGGCAGTCATCAGGACCTACAACCACTAATTATTACACAATTATGTGCGTCGCTTACAAGCATACAATACGTACATACGCGTAGCTTTCCAAATGCCCAAACCCATTCTTGGCAGTGACATGGATGGGCACCTCATCTTGAAGTTGCCTACAGTTTCTAAGACGCGTTTACCGGAAAGGCTATGGCGCAAACTTTGCTATGAACCTCAAAAACCCTTCAATCACATTGGAAACGTTGGCCCGAATACACAAGCTCAACGAGAAGCGCAATCAACAGGCACGACAACCTCCATTCTGATACTGGACGCAAAGCGTCAAAAGGGCCCAGCTCAGCATACATCATTGACAATTTCACTCGTGGATAGATGGAGACCCAAGACGACGCCACTATTTCCTGTCGGAAAGCGGGAGTGACCAGAGATCAATTGGGTAGAGCTGGGGCAATTGCTTGGGTTGATGACACTGGGGGTCATTCACGACATCTACGAGACAAGATCTAGTATGCGGAGGAGGGAGTGGTTTCGGAAATCCACTTCATCATTATTCGCAAAGACCGTGTTCCACAGGGGTGACAGCCAAGAGGGCATTAAGTAGCTCTTCTCGGTTTGGCTTCGTGAACAAGACACCACCAAAGAATCTTCCTGGATGCCTCGATAACGTGGTGGGTGTCATACTGAGTCAATTGAAGTGAGGCTTCATGGCAGTCTTGAGGCAACTGTGCGTCCGCTTCTCGGTATGCAAGGTTGGCAAAGCAGGTCGTGGTCTTCGTCCAATGGGTCAGAAATTCAATCCATCCGCTCTGAGGGATAGTGGTTTAGGAAGTGAATGGTGACGCCATGCCCATCCTGTGTCCCTTGCTCGAACTCCCATCACGCGGTAATCCATTGTGCATGATCTTCGATTCGTTATCACCTATAGCCCTATGATTTAAATCAACAAATTTCTACTGCCTTCCTCGCACCCAAGTGCCATCGACGAACTTATGAAGGCACAGATCGGCGAGAATGTCTTGTCTCCCCGATCCACAAATATACTCTGGTTTGCACCCACGCGCATACGCGTACCTCCAACGTATTTTTATCCCTTTAGCCATGTCATCCAAGGACGATAAATCAGGAACGCCATCACAGTGAGTGAGATCGAGGAGCTGAATGGGATGGCCGCACATCTTTCGCCACTCAAGAAAGCCACGCACCACCTGCGCTGGGACGTTCTCCGGCCCCATCAATTCACCGCTAATCCTGTATATCTCCCACAGCCTCAATCTCGAAAGCATTGGGAGGAGGATGGGATGGTGCTGAGTCATTCGAGAGAGGGTGTCGACAGATTCAATCGATGTGTACATGCCTTCGACGTTCTGAAGGCGCGAAATGAATCGGGGGACGTCCGGGTTGCGATCGACGTCGAGCTGCATGTCCATCGTCCGAGATACCGATATATTCAGAGTGAGCTCGGAGATGTGGTCAAAATTGATCTCGGCGAACGCGTCAAGGTTGGGTAAGACGGTGTCCAGATCGCGGTTTGAGCTGCAACTGACGTCTAAACGGAAGCACCACAACGGATTCCTCTCCGTCCCGCGGATGGACTGCTTGACACAGAACCCATGAGACGAGACAGAGAGGCGGAGTTCAGGCTGCTCGGTATAATAGGTGGTCCATGCTTTGGCATAGGTGCTGAGGACGTCCTTGACGAGATCGATGTCGGCGGGTGAGTTTATGTATTCTGGACCAGTGGCCGTGATACCAACTCCGCAGCGAGGAGGCAGCTCAAGGTTACCAAGAAGTGCCGCGACATCGAAGAGGCGATGGCTAATGGCGAGTCGAGCGAGGAAGGGAAGGCGCACCAGGCGACGAGTCGCAAGGTCAGGACTCCACTGATTCATAGATGAGGAACGGATAATGAGCGACTCCAACATTTTTGTAGCGTTGAGCGCTTCCAGCCATCTTGAGAGCGGCATGGGGGCGTCGTCGATGTTGAGATGTCGAATATGCGATAGCCATGAGGCTCCTGGGTTGAATTCAATCCTGCTGCCCAAATCGAAGGAACGAAGCTGCGGTGCCACTCCATCAAAGAGCCTCCGTCCGTCGAAAGGAAGGACAGTTTTCATGATGAAGTAAGGCACGAAGTAGAACTGGAATAACTTCAACGATCGCGCGGGGAGATAAAACTGAGGCCAGTGGTCCGACTCGGTGCTTTCGGTTTCGAATACGAGCACCAATAGCTTCTCGATCCTGTCCCAATTTGCTTCTAGCAGGCGAGAGAGCAACGAACGAGCTGCGTTGTCAGCGGCTGTGTCGTTATTTTTGATTCGGGCCTTCACCGTCAAGAGGAGCATTCCCCGCACGGGAGAGTATTTCTTGCGCCGCTTCTTCTGGTGTACGAGAGAGATAGTCGATATCGATGAGCTTGCCCCACAGTGTCGGTGAGGAGAGGATCAAGTTGCGCCAGGAGCGACAGACCTGAGAGGCATCGCGGATCATGGTAAGGGCGCGCGGGCGCCACTTTGAGACACTTTCTGAGAGTACCTCCGCTTGATCCTGGTCCATATATGCGTTGAGGACAAAGATGTGGGATAGAATATCTGTGGGCAGCTTGTAGACAGGCAGCTCGTGCGTGTTATCCGATCCCGAGATAGTCCCTGTGGTATCCATCCTCCTGTCGATGAAGCTGAAGCTGTGTATCCTTCATAAGTTCCATAAGAAAGGTGAATAGGTGAATATATACCTGAGGTGGATTCGCGATTGTTGGATGCCTTTGAACGCAACGACGATGCTCCTATTTGGAAAATTTGCTCGATGTCGTGCTCTTGGTGACGAATTAGCCTGTTGCGTGAATGGATAGATAGATAATATGATAACAAACTTTGAGGAACGAACTTGAGGAGAAGAGTTGAGAGAGGGAACAGGAGAAAGACCTGGGACCGGGATCATTTTCGTCCGATGTCAGATCGCTTATCTTATCTGATATGCGGGAGCGCTTGTATCTGAAAAGTAGAAAATATCGTTACATAAACAGTATTTTATTATGGAGGCATTCAATTTCAAGGATTTCTCGTCATCTAGATTTAAATTATTACCTGGGTGGGAGGCGCAGATGGCTACCACCGTAAGACAGGGGGAAAATCGAAGAAATGAAATACAAAAACTCAGCATTCTCGAGATTCTCGAGTGCCTTTTTTTTTTGGAGAAGCGCAAGATGGTAGGCGAGGTGCAAGGAATTGTCATGACTTATATTATAAGTCGTATCTAGACACGTCTCTCCGGCTCCGGAGGTCAAAACTGTGTACCCCAAGCAACCTTTCAGGGTACTAACGAATACAGTGATAATTCACGGGTACTTCACACCCCATTAGCTACTGTGCACCTATTTGCGCCCTTTATCATCACAAGTTCCTCCAACGCAACGATTAATTCCGCAGAAAATTCGTCGATAGATCGACGACGACAGAATGGACTCACCCCTCGGAAGCGGTGCGTATCAGCAAGATTCCCAGCTCGCCAGCTGGGTCGTACGTACACCGTGGCCTCCCTCTGGCACATGGCCGACTCATGCATGAAAGCTGCCTAGGTAGCTTCGCTGCGGAACCATGTCTCGCAGATACGCTGTACGCCTTCACTCTTGGAATTTCTCCTCGTGGCCTTTTCATTCCGACCCAAATACTGCGAAAAGGAGGCCGAGCGCAAACACGATTGCTCTGCCCCTATACTTACTGTCCTCGCCCCAAACACGCACTGCGTAGACCATGAGTCTCATACTCGGGTCACCGCGAGCAAACCGCGAGACGAAGCTAAAGAGAGCCAGGTCCACGAAGTTCCCCACTTTCAGCTCAGAGACCTCGTAATCACAAAATCAATGAACCCATCGATAGGGACCAGAGTCAGAGTTGGTGTCATTTCCGACGAGATGATCGAACAAACTTCGATACCAAATTTGAAAGCACCATTCCCTCGACGAACGCAACGGTTTGTATGTATTTGCCTCAGCGCCTGACAGGCGCTAATTTTGGGTATATAAACCCTGCGCCTCCTTTTTTCTCGTCCAACCCCCACAGAAGCGAACCACCACTGCCCCGCATTCACCTCAGTCAGCCTCGACATCGTTCTCACAACACCAGCACCATGCGCTTCTCCACATTCACCGCTGCTTTCACCCTTGCGCTGGCCACAGCGTTCGCGCCGTCCGTCTCTGCGGGCCCCATCGCGTACGGCATCTGCCAGACAGGTACGCCGCACCCCGCCATCTGCTTGCAGCACCGCCTGTGCGACAGTTGCGCTCTTCGCTCCTACTCCGTGATCAGAACGAGTAGATTGAGCGCATATATGCGCCTAGTACCGACGGAATTCAGAACTGGTGAGTGAGGAAGGCATTATTTGAGCGTCTCTGACTGTGCCGTGTAGGACCCACCAGATTATTGCCTCTCTTTCTTCGCATTTCGTAGATGGTCGTGTCATTGTGTTCCGAATTCTATCACTTCATATCCACGATTTCCAGTTGTCTGACCACGCGCTTCTACTTTTCTCCGAGACTGCTAGCCTTCGAGTTGGCCCATACCTCGGAAGATCGTGGACATCAGCCCAAGGCCGACCGCGACTCCTGCATCTATCGCACTTCCGTCTTGAGTCCGGGCCTACTCGGCGGCAACGACTAAAACCAGCGTCACAGGCGAGCATAGACGGTCGTCTAAAATAACCAACTTGAGCGACATGTTCGAAAATAAGTCCACTGTCTGATCCGTTCCCTTGAAATCCCGGATGCCGTGTGGGGTGGGCCAGAACAGCGGGCATATTTGTTTGACGCTATCAGGTTTGAGTCGGATCGATCCACCGAAGCATTCTTGGAGGGTCTCAAGGCGTGTCCGGACTATTCCAATGCAAACTCGAGATGTTTGGTGACGCTCCAACTCACGCACTTCTCCCACAACGGATACGGCTCACTGAATTTCTTCTGGCCATCTAGCCTCCTCCGAATATCGGGAACAAGATGGGAGCTTGGAAGTCACATACTCCACCGAATACGTGCTGTACAGCACGACGTCCCCCCTCGGATACCTGACGAAGATCGAGCACGGCAATTCAACTGCCCGGGGCCAATTTTTCCGGTTCAAGATAATCCATCCGCTACATTGTGAAGAAGCGGACAGAATGAGCTCAGACATCAGACGAAGTGGAAGCCAGCCCACCCTCATGCAAGATGTCGCGCGGCCGGCATTAAGCGTACATGGTGACGGAACCGGGGGACTACGATTCCGAAGAAAGAAGCAGGCCATCGTGTTCATGAGCAAAGCCATGGCCAGTCTTGAGATATTGCCCCATACCATGCGCTGTATTGGTGCACGTCAAGAAAGCGTCGTCGAGGTTGAGGTAATCAAGAGACTTGCGGAGACGATGGTGTGTGGTTTGCCAGAGAGGGACTGTGGGAGACGCTTCTTGATTTTGAACCATCACCATCCGGCCGTGGGAATTCGTCGCCCCCACCATGGCCGCGCTCTACACTACCGAACTCCTTTCATTAATCGGCATCGTCCTCAATCGGGCCCCACTCATTGCCTGATTCCTTATCTATTCATTAAACCAACATCTTTTCTTATTTATCGGAGAAGATCGCGACTTCGGCGTGGTTGTATCCCAATCGCTTTGTTGGAGGCCCGAAGACCTTGTTTACAACAATCTCAAAGCGCAACTGATGGCCCTACTTGACAGGCAGCCCATGTACCATCTTGCTCTGCTTCGCGCAGACCTTTCGGGGGCGCAACCTAGTCATGGAAGGCAACCCATGGAGGGAGGAGGCTAGTCTCCGATCATCAGCCGTGTTGCCTATGATCCGGCTACACCCCTTGGGGAGAAACACTAGATATTCGACCGCCTTCGCATGGTAGGGGGATGCTACAGGATGCATGCCTTAGGGTTTGGGAAATGGGGGAGGAAAGCGGGTGGGGTTGTATCAGAGGGCGGAAGGCATAGTGGAAGGCAGAGTCACTCGTTTCAACATTTCACTTCCAAACCATCCAATCTCGTTAGGGGTACTTAGCACCTACATGTGCTGCCCCCGTCAATGGTGTTGGCCTGGCACACCAACCATGCAGGCGACTGACAGCTTGGAAGCTTCAGCGCCCAATGCTGGGAAGGACTAACACCATGAAGCCCTTGATTGTTTAGATTCGGCGAACTGCAAGGAAACTGGTCAGCTCTCACCAACTGTCTCAACAGCTGGAAGCTTCGGCGCCCAATGGGGCTTCAACCAAAGGCGGCGGGTCGAGGGATGGGATGATGAGGAGGGTCGTTTAGGTGTAGCCTACCTCCAAGGGACTGTGATCGAACACCCTATTTTTTGTGTATTTGGAGTACATCTAAAATACACCCTACGTGGAAGACTTCAAAAAAAAAAAAAGAGAGGGACTGTGGGACTTTGTCACGGAGGTCTCGTGAGGTGACAGTACGTGCCGACGGTAACAGGGGTCCGACCCTGTCCCTTGAGTCCGAGGGCCTCGACAAATACTTTCGACGCCAGTCGTGGACGCCCTTCGAAGCCCTTGAAGCGCACGATGCACTCGATGAAAGTGCCTCTTCCTCCTCCTTGCGTGTTGCTGACCCAACCTTTTGCTGCGGTTTGCCTCGTCTTCGTCGTGGTGATGAGTATGGAAATCTTCGGTTCGCCCGCTTTGCTAACACCCGACCTTGTAAATAACAACCTCGCTGGGCAAAGATCAGCAATCGCGTCCTTACTCTCGGCAACCCGCTTACATGACGTCGTCGATAGCCCTTGGATATGCTCTACAGCGTCCCGAATGGCAGCCGTTCGTCCTCGAGTAAGAGGCACAAATTCTTCGTCGTGGTGGCGCTGATGTTGCCGTCGTAGATCTCCTAGTGGCTGTTGCCAACGCGGGCTCCTTCAATGCTGACGAAACACTAGGCAAGAGGTAAGTGGACGACGTTGCAATCGAACGGACGCCTGACTTACCCTGTCATATCGCTCCTTCGTCCATTCAAGTCCCGCCTCACCCACTCCTCGAACGCGCGGCGAGATAGAGGTCAGATCCTGGAGGACGGAGCACATGACGTGTCCATGGCCTTTCGCGGTGTGTCCAGTCTCCGACCTCCAGCACGACCATCTAATCCCAACAATAGTAACGCGAATATACTAGGAAAAGATGGTAAATGCTCGTCCGTCGTGACGGGCGAAATGTACTCTCACATATTGTCGTTTCTAGCCTCTTCTTTCCGTTACCTGCGTATTGCGAGATCATACTGCTAGATTATAGGTCAGAGTTCATTCATCGCGAAAGACAGCGCCGACACTAACCTCCATTCACCGTGTCTTCGCACTACGCATTTTCTACCGCCCCGGACACCAATTCCGAAGTCGACCATCGCACTAGAAGGTGCCATGTTGCGTCGATGAAAGGCTCGAGAGTTCTCTACGATGTACCTACGGCCGCTGAGCTAGCCCATGCCCAGGCGGCCATCCGCGAGCTCGGCGATACGGTGTTGGCAGGAGCACTGAAAGGGGCCAAAGGTAAGTACGTGCACCAATGCAGACGATTGCTCCACTTACCTAGTCTCATTTCCAGCTCGCCACGACACACGACGTCCAGAACAGGCCCTCTCCTCAACTTTGAACCTCGTTCGTTGCAGTCCTTGACGACCGCATCCTATGCTCGAACCTTCAACTAAGCCGACTCTGTTGTCGAGAACACGCTGCAAGGAGAAGGTCAGCGGCTAGACACCAACGTAGACGACGACTATACTCACCTGTCGTTGTGTCCAGCTCGCCACGATGACAACGTCCCCCTCGAAACAGGCCTGCTCGCGTTGTTCGGCAAGTCCTCTGTCCATGTCGTTCGTGATGCTTCTGCGCCAGCTGACTTTCGGAGCTCCATCTATGACAAGAATAGGGATCAGGATTGAAGACAGTATTCGCCAAGGGTTGAGTAAGTGTCACTAGCTTAGAATCTCCGAGCAGAGGTCGATAAACGAGGGAGAATACGCCAGAGTTGAAAGTGGTAGAACTGAGCTTGGCAGCATTGCCTGTTGCAGGGCCTGGGAAATTTTGAAGGTTACGTAAGAGTCTATGCGTCTTCCGTTCTTGATCCTGGTTTCAACAATGCGCAGGGGATATTCACTGTGCGTATCTTGTACTGCTATGCAGACGGTGAGTTCTATTACTCGAAAACCTCAGATCGTACCACCAAAGCTATGTCCTTTCTGCAGCAAATTCAAAGCGGCTATGGAAGCGATCGACGTCTCTGGCGCCTGCTGCCGCGACCCCAGTGGCGAGGCGTGCGGACCGTGTAATGAAATATCCAATTTGGATAGAAAAATAGAGAAACTCTTGGGTACTCTCCAGCAACTCGTACGCAAAAGACGCGACCTGAAGACGAAGCGGAACCGTCATCATGATCCCTTGGTCAGGAACCTGCCGTTGGAACTCCTCTCGCGCATCTTTGTCTTTTGCCAGCCAGACCCCCCAACGAAAGGTTTTTCAGCGTTATACTTTCCTCTCCGTGTCCGCAGTGCTCCGTCTCGCCCCCATCTCACCCCAATCATCTTGGGCTCGGTCTGTCGGCGCTGGCGGGAGATCGTCCAAGCAACACCTCGACTTTGGACCTTTGTCTCCGTCAACATTGGGCGCAACGATATACAGGCGTATGCCCCATTCATCGCCACGTGGCTCTCACTCCGGAGGACTTCCACTGACGGTCGCGATCTGGGAGTCCAAAGGCTCTGAACCAGAAGAGGGATTCGGAGAAGCGGACGAAGATATTGATCCCTCAGGCCTCAGGTCTGATCAAGGTCGTCAATGCTCATTCCTCCCGGTGGGAGTGTTTGGACGTTTCTATTTCTACCAGCGCCGCCCTGAAACAGCTGCAGTACAACTCGAGTTGTGCTCCACGCTTAGAAAGTCTTCGCATTCATGGATTTCCGAGCAACGACAGCACCAATCACCTCACCTTCAACGAAGGCAGCCCATTCATGCCGAGCCCGAGAAATGTCTTTCTCTCCTCTATGCGCCCTGATTCGATTTTCATCCGATGGAACCTAGTCAAATGTGTGAACGTCAGCTACGTCAATCCTGCCGACCTCCTTACGATTTTTGCCAACGCCGCCAACATATCACGCGTCCACATCCGCACTCTAACTCGTGATAGAGATCTTCCGTTGCGCCCAGTTGTCCATCGTGCGGTCCGCCTGCTGCATTTCATGACCAGTCAAAACATCGACGATATTCTCAACAATCTTGCAGCCCCGTCATTGCGAAGACTTCATGTCATGAGGGTTTCGCCCAGTCTCACATCGATGATTGCCCGCTCCAAGCCCCCTCTCACGGACATGACCATCCGGGGCAACATCGTCTGGGACGAGGCGCTACGACTTTTCAAGCATACTCCCTTCCTCTCAGAGTTACACCTCATAGATATAGCGGTCGTGCCACGCACGTTTTTCCAGCGTCTAGCCGATACATCGGCTATATCTCCTTTGCTGGATGGGCGGTATCTACCTGCTCTTTCTTTGCTGAGGATCCGTACTACCCAGAATTCGTTCGTCTGGAAGGACATTGCAGATGCCTTTGGCCCGGACCCCTTAAACGCAGCTGCGACTCAGCAACCGCTCACAGCATTCTTGCTCCACATGATGCCTACTAGTGTTATCAATGTTCCTGATTCGGGTTCTGATGAGGCGTCTCCTTTAAATACCGTAGCCCTTCAGCGATTGCGCGCTTTGAGGGCTGGTGGGTTTTCGGTGTCAATTGTGGACGCGAGAGGACAGGATTTACTCGCTGAAGATGGCAATGGCATGGGTTTAGCTCGAGGCGAAGATGAGGGGTCCGAGGAAGCCTGAGGTCCAAAAGTGAGCACTCATAATTTGGGAATAAAGTAGCTCTTATTTACAAAACAATCATAGGCTCTCAGGGAACTGCATCGGATGGCGATGCGAAGAAAAATACATGAATATTTATTCAATAGTTTCGTTGGGACCTCCTGAATACACTCTGGCACAAAACGTCCCTCTGCTTTCATAAGCGGTCTCGCAAGATGGATCATCGTCCCAGAATCAAGGCGTGGATGGCAAAGCATCCGCCCTGCTGAGTTACTTTACCGTCCGTACATGACCATCCTCTTTAGTCGACGGTCTAATATCCTTCATGCTATTTTGTATATTACCTGCTGTTATACGAGGTATCAGAATGGCGTGAATGGCGCTGATGGTGAGCTCGTTCGCAAGGGTGCCAAATCCCTCGGGCCTCGCTGCATTTTCTTATTCACAGATGCTGGGCCTCGAGGCTTCCACCGCGTCCACGTACACCTCAAAAGCACACACACTCGGTGCGGGGAGCGGATGACTCGCATCTGCTACGATAATCGCCTCCAGTACTTAGTATATCATGTCCGAGGTTTTCGGCCAGCCTTGATTGCCTGTGACAACATCGCAGGTCGTCTCGTGGGGTGACACAACGCGGCGATGACGCGGTCAACTGTCGCGTCCAATTGGCCTCCAATTACCTCAAGAAACGTTGACGGCTGTAAATTATGTTGCCGATTCACAAAATCCTCATGAAGTTGGCTATATGTTGATATCTCTGTTAGGAGCGGCATACCCAAACTCCCGTTGCGACATTCGTGAGTGTTCGCCACGGCCCACGGTATTCTCATTACAGGTGTTCACCACGATATCTGGCTATTCACTCATAGATGAAGGCTTGAATGAGCTGTAACCCTCTCAAACCTGCGGAGACGGATTTTGTGGCAAGAATGTCGTCTAGTGCTTCATTCTGGCTTGCCCGCTTACCACTCCTCAAAGCGGTGCTTCCACCACGAACATCGTGTCCGATGTCACGAAGGAAGATTCAGAATACTCAAGAAAAGGAATCCAGAATATGACATCTCTCAGACGAGTCACACCCCCAGAGGTCGCCATAGATTCCTAACGTCAGGCTAGTCGTGGTCCTCTTGCCGTTTGGTGACGGACTGCCTGAATCCAAAGCCAAAGTCTGTAGGGATGGACCAATTGCAATCGTCCAAGAGGATTGTGGAAATCGGTCAATATCGGCCTTCCCAATGCCGTTATTCTTGTTCTCGCATCGTGTATTGTGTGAGTAATGCGCGAATAGTAGATACCCACCATTGTCATCACTTATGAGAGTGTTGATAGCTTAAGGGAGCTCAAAATTGGCTCTTATGATGGCGAAGACGAAGCGTTCTCGTCGTTGACGCTCTCTACGAACCTTGTTCGTGTCCTCAAATGTGCGTCCTTGTTTTGGAACGCCGAGAACTGATCCTTCGACGAGCCGCGCGCTTCGTAGAATCTCTCTTCCGCCATCTGTCTACATTTTGGCGCAGATATTCAGAATTCTACTACCATGTTCTCTGAACAAGAAATCCTGTGGCTGATCTCACCGCTACTTCCCTCTGGGTATGTGTCTGGGCTGCCGTTTTCCATCCGCTTGTTTCTTATTCCTTCCATTCCATATACAAAGGTGACAGTGTCGAAACCGGAGCAACCCGCAAATCCCTCGAGGCCCCGAACATCTGTTTCTATTTTGGGCAACTTCCCGAGTCTGGAACAGTGGAACCTGCGGTAACGTCATAACGCCTCCCCGTTCTTTGCCGTTCCTCTCCACCAAACCACCACCACGACTACCATGGCTCTCAACGCACACAAACCCGCGCACCTCGTTGGGCCTCTCCGAGTCAGCCTGCGCGGACACCCTCTGCTCGCCTCGCCTCGTCTCAACAAGGGCACCGCCTTTCCCATCTCAGAACGCAAGGCCTTCGGGCTTGAGGGCCGCCTGCCCTACCGCGTCAACACCCTCGATGAGCAGTGCGAGCGTGCATATGGTCAGCTCAACCAGCGCGACACCGCCATCCGCAAGAACACGTTCCTGCAGAGCCTGAAGGACCAGAACTGGACGCTGTACTACGGGCTACTGGCGAGGCATCTGAAGGAGCTCGTGCCAATTATCTACACGCCCACGCAGGCGGAGGCGATAATGAACTACTCCGAGCTATTCAGGAGGAGCGAAGGTCTTTACCTCACGTTCCCCGACCGAGATCGGATGGAAGAGGACTTCCTCGAGCAGACACGCGGTCGAGACATTGATTTGTTCGTCTGTACGGATTCGGAAGCTATCCTCGGAATCGGAGATCAGGGCGTTGGGGTACGTCTCATTCGAATCGTTCTCAACGCAGTGCTCTAAGTGTTTTCCAGGGAATCGGTGTATGCACCGCTTGAAAGGCCTATATCCAAATGAACTCTAACTTTGAACGCAGATATCAACGGCGAAATCGGTCATGTATACGTTAGTCTCGTCACTCCCTTTTCATAAGAAGAGAATGAACCCCCGTTCTCAGATTGGTTGGAGGTCTGGATCCTTCGAAGTCTGTCCCTGTCGTTCTTGATGTTGGGACTGACAACAAGACCCTCCTCAATGACCCACTCTATGTCGTAAGTTGTGATGTATTCTTTGCAGCACAATCTAGCGAACCTTCGTAGGGCTGGCCTGAGAACCGTATCCGAGGCGAGGAATATGATAAATTTATCGATCGGTAAGTGCAGAGTTTTTCTTTCGACGATATTTCTCCTCGCGGATATTGCGATGGCGATGAAGGCCGCCCTTTTTCCTCCTGTTTTCCTTGATTTGTGACCAGATAATTATTATACATACCCACCTCGTCCAGGTTCGTCCAACTCGTGCGCAAGCACTACCCCCATAGCCTTCTGCACTTTGAAGATTTTGGGGTTAAGAACGCGCATCGTCTCCTTGACAAGTACCGTGAGACGCACGCCGTGTTCAACGATGACATGTACGTCTCCCATGTAATCGACCTTCAAATCATTTCTCACTTGCCAATTATCTAGTCAAGGAACCGGCGCTGTTACCCTAGCTTGCATCATGGCCGCTGTTGGGGTTTCTCGGCGTTCTCGGGCAGCCTTCAAGGCCTCCTCCGCCTCTTCATCTTCCAGCACTTCACAGAGCATCAGCAAAGACCGCCTCTCAGACCAACGCTTCGTCATCCTCGGTGCCGGATCCGCCGGCATGGGCATCGCGACGCAGATACGTGATGCCATGGTCGCCGCGGACGGTGTTTCTCGTGCTGAGGCGAATTCGAGGTTCTGGATGGTCGATAGGGAGGGGCTTTTGTTCGAGAAGGAGGATAACCAAGCGGAGCTCCAGGCGATGGACGTGAGGAAGAGAGAGTTCGTCAGGCCATCGGAGGAAAGGTGGGATTTGGTCGGCTTGGCTCGAGATGCGGAAGACGAGACGATCGAGTGGGAGGGCGTTGACCCACATGTGAAGAAAGACGCACCCACGTCGCAAGTCCAAGCAGCGGGAAAACTTGATCGCGATATTGAGTGGGAAGGTATTGACCCAAATTCGCAAACCACAGCGTCGCCTTCCTCTCATCCTCGAAGTCCTGGTGACCCGGTCAGCCTCCTCCATGTCGTCAAGGAAGTCCGGCCCACGGTTCTCATAGGATGCTCGACTGCTTCTGGGGCATTCAATAAGGACGTCATCCAAGCAATGCTTGCAGGTACGGAAGAGGGTGCGCGGCCGATCATTCTTCCGCTCTCGAACCCAACACGTTTGGCGGAGGCCGTTCCCGAGGATTTGATGCACTGGACAGAGGGGCGGGCCCTGGTGGCGACTGGAAGTCCATTCCCACCTGTTAAGATGAGTGTTGAAGGGAAGGACGTCGAGTTCAAGTGCGCGAATATCCGTATTTCCTCCCGGCAGTTACTGACATGAGATCCTCTTTTTAGGATCGCAGAGTGTAATAACGCCCTGATCTACCCTGGCCTTGGGTTCGGCGCCATCCTCGCCCAGTCTAAACGCATAACTGACACGATGCTCATCGCTGGAGCGAAGCGGCTCGCTGCCCTCTCCCCGCCATCTCCGAATGCAACGTTCAGGACGGCGACCAAGTCTCAGCCTCCGACCCCTACGAATACAACGGCGAATCCCTCTTACCGGACTTCAGCATCGCCCCAGGCGTGAACTTCGAAATCGGCGTTGCAGTTGCCGAACAGGCGGTGCGCGAGGGGAGTGCAGGTGTTGAATGGGAGGTAAAAGAAGGGCAGGACGTGGAGGAAAAAGCGAAGGAGGTAAGAGAGAGGGCGGGAGAAAAGGTGTGGGTCCATTTATCCGGAGTACTTGTTTGCCGAGGATGGGCTCAAGGATCTTTGATTGAATGGGGTCTTTTATTCTCGGTCTGACAAGGGAGTTCTGGGTATAGAAAACACAGCGGAATGCGCCACCGAGGGCTGGACTTTGAATGTATTTCCTCGTTGTACGATAAATAGTGTTCATATTGCAATGTATATAACTTCACTTCTCTGCACTGGAGAAACTGGAAACGGTCTTGGGGACGGTGCGCGGACAGGCAAAAGCTAACCCTCGTTATCTTTTGAATACTTCTATGAAGGCCGATACGTAGTAATAAAGGCGCGTATTCGGTCAAACAAGAGAAAGGCGCATTTCAACCATCCGTCATCACAGGGCGCCTGGTCAGGTGCAGATTGGTATTGGATCGTGTTCGGGTATGGAATGTAGACCATCTAGTTTGAGAAAAATGTGGCAGCATGGGGAAGAGGTAAAGGCATTACATCTCGATAGGAGTCGCGCATCCGCATCCTCATCAAACACTTCGAGTTCACGCTGGTACTTCTAGGGTCCATCCAGACAGCCCACACTGGGTGATCCTCCGGAAATAATAACCGCGGCTGCAGATTCTTGCGTTGCATTTCCCATCCAAGGCCGTTGTAGGGCAACCCGAGAAGATGCTGGATGGGGTTGTACATGGACAAACATACGGTAGAATTTCGTGAATGTTTCTTCAAGAGTCCCGATTGTAACGCAATGCCAAGGAAGAAACTGGAAGTCGACGCCAGTTGAATCGCGTAAAGTAGGCAGATGAATTCTAAGACCATCAAGGTCACGAATCACAAAACCTTTTAGCTCTTTTGTGACCTTATAAGCACGTTTCGAGCGTGCGCTTCAAATGCGACACCGTTGTCAATGAACGCAGGCAGGTCTGTTCGACTGGATTTGATATCAGGCGTACAACAGGTGCCACATTTCAGGACTAGGAATCGAACTGCCATTTTTTCTGGGGAGGTTATTACAAGTTATGGAAATAGAGTTGCAGCAGTGAACGTTTGACTCTGATGACCACTTCCCTCTTTCCACTACCCTTCCGACTTCTTCGACTTCTTTTTGCCCGATACCGTGCGTACTTGGGGCTTACCTGGAAGCAGAGGATCAATGTGGTGCACGGTAGGTGTTATAGTGTCGAATTCTGCTCTGAAAACGTCCTCGAATAGAGCTTTTCTTTCGGCTACACTGATCGATTTAATTCCTGACGGAGCACAGTAAGGGCATTGTGGTTTGTGTGCTTGAATATTATAGGGCATCGCAGAGCGAATGTAAAATATCTTTAACGCAGTTTCGGAGTCCAATGTGAATGGGCTTCGGACGTCTTCAAGTGTGAGAGTGCGCTGTTCAACCAGCCGAGTGTATGCGTCTCTTAACCAATGGACGACGCGGTACTTCTTGGCCAACAGGACAATCTCGACCGAAGTCTTTTCAGCGAGCATGGAAGAGATGCCGGATATCGCCTTTTCCCTGACCTAACAGCAGGACCGCGTCAGCACTGTGCGTAGCTGCTGGTTATATGAAGGCAAAATACTTCTTTGAATTCCCACATCGTGGCGAGATGGAGCGCCCCAACCCAGTCATTGTATGTCACAACTTTAGCGCTGATTATCCCTCGAGTTAGGTGACGTAGTAAGTAGCTGAGCGGACTTACAACGGATACAAGGCGCCGAGGAACCCCCTAAAATGATCTTCTTCGATTCCATCGAGGACAATAGGGTGCTCATCACTGAGCCCTTCCACTGCGTCTGTGTCGCTGGACGACAAAGGAATCGAAAAGATGGCTTCAAATACAGTCCCTGGAACTTCGAATGCTTGTCTCGGCACGCGAAAAATGGACTCCCCGACCTAATACCGAAGACGTAAGCTTCGCTAGTCTCCATGGTTGGAAGGGCAACGTACGCCAAATACCACGATGCTGAAGTAGAACTGAGAATCGGGAGTCCTAATATTGTGAGGCGTAGTCGATGAACATGCAGATTGACGAGTAGTCAGTCCCTCATCACCACCAAGTGACTCGGACACTCCCGATTCGACCACATTAGGAGCCTCTGTCTCTAGCCAGGTGGTCCCATTCATCTGAAACGAAAGGCAGAAAGTGTTGGATGAAGAAGGGTATTTACAGTACTTGGATTGTTGGTGGTAGGTGTCTGAATGAGAGGAGGAAGGAGGATCTGATTTTCATCTATGGGCGCCTAATTCGATCGATTTGCCCACGCAGTCTCCACGAGGACACAAAACGGCATCGTGTTAAGAAGTTGCTCTTCCTCCGCGTGTGGCTCAGCCTCAAGGCCATCGAGCCTTCTATCCAACACTCTTCTAAAAATATGTTTCACTGTGCCAATCAAATGACACAGGATCGGATATATAGGGGCGGCAACGATGCGCTCTTTAAATCAGCACACGTGATCGGCCCGCTAACCCCGCTATACCCACGCCATCGATGATGCAAGCAGCAAGGGCCACAGTCTCTTCGTCAACTCCCAACTCACCTTCTGCCACGATGTTCAGACCACATCACACATAGGCCATGGTTTCGATTGCTATTTATCCAAGGGGGTGGGCGCCGGTGTGTACATCTCGCAGCGGAACCAGGGGAAGTAGGACTGAACAGTGTTAAAATGTCGTGTCATCGGTGAGCAGCTTTTCTAGAATGGCGGAAGACCGTACTCATTTTCACTTGAAGCCATAGCTGTTCTATTAGATGGCACATATTCACTAGGGCCATTGGAAGCGACTTAAAGAACCCAAGAACGCCCTCTAATAGTCTTGAAACAATCAGGGATGACCGGCGAGGATCGACAGAGTGTCACGACCAAGTCCTCGAGGTGTAGTCGAGGATTGGGGAACGAGTGGATAAGATACGAGGGTGTGGGGCTAGAGACGAGGTTATTCATCAGAGGTTATCTGAGATCACACAGATCATGGTTGCTGGGTGCGTCAGCCGAGATTCTACGAGCCTGCTGCCGTGCTAACCCTGTCCCGATAGAGCGCGAATTTCGCTTTCAACGCTGAGTAGCACGTTGTCGAACGCTACTTATGTTGAGAAGAGATAACTAATACGGCGATCGAACATTTGTGCGCCCATCCGCTGCCGAGTTCTCACCGGATCTTCCGCAGCAGGGTGCAAAAAAAAGACGCATATACCCTCGCTCGACTACCTCGGTTTTAAAAATCATGAAGCTCCTGGCTATTGTAAGCAACCTCAAATTTCGCAAAAGATTGGACCAGCACCTGTCGTCCCTCATGGCTTCGCCCAAGTCGGCCGAGGCAGAAGCACAGCCTGGCTATTCTTTGAGTTCATTATGCTGCCGCCGCCTCTCTTTTTTTTGCTCTTGGTTCCTATCTTCTCTGTCGTCGATCCGGCTGGCTATCCGATATCGCCGCACGACTTCAACACGCACATGGACGCGGGGCTGCACATCCACGATGCACACCGGTCCAAAAGCGAAGTAGCGCGCAGAGCGCGCCAATGTTCGTATGTCCTTTTGCTTCCCCTGATCGTTATTTCGTAAGCTCAATATACCCGAAGACATATACGGATCAGAATCCGTGTCTTGGGCCTACCAGCGAGGGCCTGCGGGTGCTAAACAACAAGTGAGCTTTTGCCGTAACCGCCCACACCACCTGATAAGATAAGATGCCAAGGCGCAGCAACCCCACGTTCGAAGCTCTTCGAAATTTCAGAAGTTTCGCCACACCATTTAACAGAGGTCTTCACTCGGCAAGACTCGTGGCTTCCGATGTCGTAAGTGCGCTTCCATGCGCCCAACACGGATTCCAAGCTGATTCCAAGCCATGTTCTTCTCCCGATGGAGTCAATCGTGAAGCTGGTTGCTGTCGAGCATCTCACTCAGGCAAGCTTTATGAACCTGTATGTCTCAGCGAGTGAACTCTGACCATGGAATGTCTAGCTACGACGTTAACTATTTACATCGACTAGGCGTGAATGTCGGGGTCCGTGGTCAGCACAGTTGTCGGCGTCAAAGAGGCTCAAGAATGGATGTGGTCATGCGGCGCACCGGCTCGCAACGGTCACGAGCTTCATACGTATCATCGAGAGAAGCAAGCTGGAAAGGTTTGGCACCGATTGCCACGCAGAGCCCCATAATATACATAATGTGGTCGGCGCTGGGCAAGTTTTCTCCGTGTCCGTCCCTCTTCGTGTTGACACTTTTTCCACCGAACCCCCGAAAACTATGCGGCTCTCTGCCCTCTCCCTGGGTTTTCTATCGGTCGCCCTCGCCGCTCGTCCCTTCTTGAATGAGGCCGACACCGGTATCGAGGACGTCTTCGGCGCTCTCCCCGCAGGCACTCTACCTGAGCTCTCCAGGATCGTCGGTCTGTCCGACTTCGACTGGGCCGCCAGACGGTACTTGAACATCTCTGCCTACACGTACTACCGCAATGGCGCTGCGGGAGAGTGGTCGTACAGGAACAACCTTGAGGTGTTCCATCGATTCCGCTTCAGGCCAAGGGTGATGGTGGACATCACGAATATCGAGTCAACGCTGCCGTATGTTGCCCATGCATCTCTTCTATCCTCAGGCCTCGCTGCTTATGGACGTTGAACGTAGGACTACGCTCCTCGGCCACAACTTCTCTGCGCCGTTTTTTATCAGCCCATGTGCTCGAGGTGGGCTCGCTCATCCCGAGGCCGAGCGAGGGTTGGTGAGAGGGGCTGCGGCAGAAAACATCCTCTATATGGTACGTCACGTCAGCTTGAAGTGGGGATTTAAGCTTATTTTACCCCGCTTTTGTTAGCCTGCACTCTTCGCGACTCTTTCTATCGAAGATATCGCCGCTGCCAAGACCGAAGACCAGGTTGTTTTCCAACAGGTACGTAAAGGTAGACCCGTGGTCGCGTCGAGCCCCGACTTAATGCCGATGTAGGTATACTTAGACTCAAACGACACCGCGACCCAACTCCTCTTCGATCGTATCGAGAGGTCTGGCGCAAAAGCCATCATATTCACTGTCGATTCCGCTGCAGATGGAAACAGACATCGTGCCGCCCGTTTCGGTGTCGGCTCTGCGTAAGCACAATATTTTTCCTGGTTGCCGTAGTTGTCCTAACTCTGTCCGTAGTGACTCATCATATTCTCTCATTACCGTAAGTCCACATGGAACTTTTCTCCTCTGGGATAGCAAATGGCAGATGCTGACATCACATCCATAGTGGGATATCTACAAGCAACTCCAAAACATGACTTCTCTCCCCATCATCATCAAGGGCATCATGTCCGTTGAGGACGCTCGAGGAGCCGTAGCCGCTGGAGCACCTGCTATCATCCTCTCGAACCACGGTGGCCGTCAGCTCGACAGTTCCCCATCCTCGCTCGAGGTTGCGCTCGAGATCCACGAGGAGGCTCCGGAGATCTTCACTCAGACGGAGGTGTATGCCGATGGTGGGGTTCGTTACGGCGCCGACGTCCTCAAGCTTCTTGCCTTGGGCGTACGCGCCGTCGGCCTTGGACGGCCCTTCATGTTCGCTAACGCGTACGGAGCGGAGGGAGTCCAGCGCGCGATCCAGCTGTTGAAGCGCGAGATTGCGATCGACGCGGGTAATTTGGGAGTGGCTGACTTGAAGGCCATAAACTCGTCTTTTGTGAGTCTCTATTGTACCTTGTATGCTATAGACTAATCTTGCTCGCGCAGGTCAAGTGGACGCCGAACCTCTGGCTATAGCTAGCAAACGCTTTTCGGGGTGGTGGGACGGAGTAACGATGTCCTGTTCGCGTAACTCAAAAATCCGACTGGGAAGTGGTGTCGAAAATCCTTATAATTTATGCTCTGAAACGACGTACCAATAAATATCTAACCGCGAATCACGTATGCTGGGTTCTCAGCTTCAACTCGAGCGGTTACATCTGCAGTGCCTAGTCTACTTGCAGAGAGCGAAGTTCGACAATCGGAATAATGCCAATTTTCACCACGTAAGTGTCCCGTATGGCTCAAACACCTTTTTGTGGGGGAAACGGACCCCTGGGCAAGGGAACTCACGATTCACCTATTGTGTCGCCGCAAATGCTAGGGTATAAGGGACGCAACGACCCAGCATCGACGATCTGAGTAATTCATTTGAACAACTGCCTCATCCCGTCCAGCGCAGAGCGTCCATGACGGCGTCCAGAAGATGGCCAAACGAGCTCTTGACGAAGCCCGAGCACACGGCGTGGATGACGACCAGATTCTGCTGATAACAAAGAGGCCCTCTTTAGAGTATTACCTTCGTCAGCCAGAATGATCGACGAGAGTAGAGGACGCTCCAGTACTGAAAGTGCTGAACCTTCGTTTCTGTCGATTTCCGGGAATTTACAGATCGACGATGTTCTCCGCTTTATTGACGACTTGCCTATCTCGCGTCGCTAAAAGGTGTCGTAGGACTCGAAAGGCTCCCGCGTGCGTCAAGCAGGCCGATAAATTCTCCGAGGCCCAATTATCGTTACCTTCGAACATGGGTCGAGCGTAATTGCGAGTCACTGAATGTGTCTTTCGCGTTCAACGTGATGTCGATTCCTTGGATCTTGAAGCAAAATAAGGAGTCGAGGATGAGTAAATGAAAGAAAGATGAAACGTATTAAGATTGAACGCAATAATTAGAAGACACCGAGAATGCGAACGACGGAAGGTTGAGCCATTTCTAAGGCCAAATATGAGTCCCGGGCCATTAGCAGGCTGCACGAAGGATTCAAGTTCATTAGCAGCTGCAGAGAAGGAACAGAAGAATCTCGTACGATCCAAGAACGAACCCTCTCGCAAGCTGGATGTCTTTCGAGACCGGGCATATCCCTTTCCAGATGAGAGGTTCAGCCAATCATCGGAGCAGGAAGCACCTATCTGCAGGCCAATACCAGATGTCGTGAGTAGGTCGGAAGATGGCATTTGAAGACGGGCTTCCAAGACCAAGGGATGTAGCGTACCTGGCGCGAGGATTGCTCAATCTGGTCACTATGAATCAGCTTCGAGAAGTACCGAGAACAGCAGAACCATTACACTTACACACTGTTCATACCAGCGTCAAGGGATGCCCTGTTCCCGGCAGCGTCATTAATTTCACTCCACCGGCCCGAGAACATGAAAATACTTCAAGCACTCGAAACGGGTGATAAAATTTCGATCTGCCGTTGTCGCGCTATGTCTGAATATCGATGAGACCATCTCCAATTTTTGCTGGGTTCTCTTGATGTCGAACGAAACTGACGGGTAGACTGGGCGTCTTTGCGTTGATATGCGTAAGAAAGGCTTCGATTGAGGGTTCTGGTTCACTGAAGCAGCTTTCGCATTCTTTCCCAGGTCCCAGCGTGATGTGCCGTCGTCGATTCAGCTTGTGCACTGGAGTGTAATGGATCGAAGAGACAAGAGAAGACGAGATGTAGCGACGTCCAAAGAGAAGCCAAGTTGCAAACGATCGGGCAACGTCGAAGGTGGATTCTTGAAGGAGACCGAGACCTGAGGGTTGACGCGACAAATCGTTGCTTGACCTCGAGGAATGGTCTAGTGCCTACAAATCAACTGAGGAGATGGCGTCTCGTAAGTGGAAATCGAGGTGAGAACCGAACGACGATGTACCAAAGAGAGTCGACCCATCATTTCCGTTCCTTCAGTTTGGACGCCGCTACCGCTTCGTGTCACATAATTCTGCAAAAAATAGTTGGGAGACCTGACGGATCCGTCGCATTTGTGGACACAACCGAAGGGTTGGCAATGAGGCCGCTAGGTAGTCCCAGCTGAAGGTTATCCATACGCTGGATATGAGGACACAATCATGCCCGTACCTCTGAATGCAGCAGATGCGCACCCTTTTTAGCCTTTGGTTCCTCCGCTAATTCGTCGTGGACAGGTCGCCGAGCGCTAGGATGAGGTATCGAGGAGCAACGTTGATGTTCAACCAATTGGCTCGGCAAGTGAGAGGCCGTGGGAATATGTCTGCCTGCCGGCTTATAAATGATGGCGCCGAGGCGGTCTCGTTCCCGACTAGCTGCGCTCAACGTCTCAGCGTCAACCCGAGAAGCTCTCCTCAATAGTCTCATAGGAATTTCGTTCGTTCACCCTGCCAGTATTAGTAAGTGGAGCAGCTGCGCATTTAGGCAACTCCGCTCGCACCGCCATACTTCGTGTCTCGAAACTTAGAGGGATAGTAGGTAAATGCTATGTTCGGTGAAGAGATGTAATTGCAACTCTACAAATGATATATGAGCGTTGGATGACTCCACAGGTATGTACTATTTCGATCCACAGAAAACCGAGATAACGCAAGCCACAGTACTACAGCAACCTCTATGTCGGTCGAATGGCCGCCTGCCTGCGAGCCTTGGGTTTGTGAGTGCGTAGGCGCTCGATCAAGCGCCAGGTGGCAAAACCGACCTCCTTCTCCTCCTCCTTCTCCTAAATTTACTCGGGGTCTCAGAGGCTTGAGTTCTTCCTTGTTCTCAAGCTTTTCCTCGGTCTTGAGCTCCTGCGCAGCTCTGGTAACCCCGGTTATTCACCACGGTGGCCTCTTGAAAAGGTGGACGCATCTTCAGCTTCGGCTTCACCACTCTGCAAGCGAAAGGTGATGCTGAGGCGGATTTGAGCATCGATTTCTGGACGACTCGGAATCGGTTCGGGTTCGGGGTTCTTCAACGTCGGGGTCGCCAGTCTGAGTGCCACTGCTGTTGTTTGGGTTTGGAAGCTTGGAAGCTTGGAGCACACCTTGGTCTGATGGAGCTCCGAGTTGCAGGTCCTGCATCGACTGTGACTGGTCCGGATCATGCAAGGCAGGCAGGTACACCTCGTCGGCACGTCGCGTCGCGTTGCAGGTGGGGCTCATGACTTGTGAGCGAGACAATCCAAGGATCGAGGTTTCAAGGGATGGTTGGAGCCTTGGAGCCGTCGCGATTGGAAGTGGAAAAAGTCGATACAACCAATACCGGAAGGCGCGGGCCGCGGCGCCAATGCCAACATGAACACCAGCGCCACACCTATACAAGCGACACATTTCCGGTCTTTACATCCTCGACGCCATCGACGCATGTGGAGACGATTGCTCGATCCGATTCCTCACGTGCTTCGTGAAAGTCCCTCGCGCCTGCTGGTCTGAGTAGTGGGAATACAAGGGGTGTAGGTACCTCTGTCCACTTCCAGGGGGGCCTTGCTGGCCTCAACATCCTCCTCCCGAGCTTGTCCTTCTTCTCCTGCGCATTCTTCTTGCCTCAGGCTGCAGGGCGGTAATCGACACCGAGTGGTACTTTATCCACTGTATTCGGTCGAGAAGCACCTTGCTCAGGTGTTCCTTCCACCGTCGACGCTGTCGGTCGTCTTTGTGCGAATCACGGTGCTCGTGGAGAAAGCTCAAACTTGTCAGGCTTTAGTTTGTTCCGGATTTCCAGACCGGCGGGTCGCGACGCAGAACGCTCGGGGGCACAGCAATCCCAGAAGCGGGGGAGGAGTGGGAGGGGAGTGGGAGGGAGAGTGGGATCATGGTCGGAAGTTAAAGATTGAGTGGAAGACTCGGAGCAGGTGGGGTTGAAAGTGCGTTTTCGATTGTTGATGGGGTTCGAGAATCCGGTGGGCAAGGGGGTACAAAGGACCGACACCCTCGAGTGAGCGCCGCCTTTTATGCCTCCCAACGCCTCTGTGGCCTACTGTGGCCCACCTCTCTGCTACCTCACAGCCACACACTAATCATTGATTATCCGTTTCCGGAAGACATCCTCGGTGGCCCCGTCTCTCATCGCATGTAGCCGGTAAGTACGCCACTTTGCCCAGAAGGCTTCAAGTTGCCGTTGCGACATTGAGAAGGGGCCGAGCACCGGTACCGTGGCAGAGTCGGAGTTGACTCAGAGCATGCTCTAGAGTTACCTAGTTTGGGCAGCGTGCGCCACACAACTTGACACCGAAAATTGCCCCGATCGTCCCTCTAGAGACGTTGGATAAACGTGCTAGGTGCCGGGATGGCCGAAAGTGACGGGTAAGACCGTAAGTTAAGAGGAGGAAAGATGAGTGAATGGGAGACGGACGGAGACAGACCGAAATTTGGTTCGGAGCGAGGTCGCCGGTTCTGAATCGGACTGAGAGGCGAACTGCGCAAAAGGAATTTCTCTTCTGCTAAGTACCTTGACCCCGTACTTCTGACACGAAGACTCTGGGTCTCTACTATGCGGAGAAGTTTTTCTGTCCTGTCCCCCTGAACTGTCTCGTCAACATCTCCCGAAGTTTTCTACAAAACTCTATTGTCTTACTCCACCCCCTCAGCGTCATCCTTCCAAGTGAAAGACACCGTCTACAGCGAACAGATTCCACACAGGGACCATTCCATCTGGACAACATACTTCTATGGACCCTCTTTACCTTTCGAGGTTCGCGAAATGTCCGAGAAAATCCGCTCTGGAGTATTGTTCGGCCTCGAGGGTACGTCTGTCAGTACGAGGAAATTCTAGCTCGATCTCTGTGATGGGCAACAACTGCGCTTCGTGGGATCGCCCACGGTTCTCCTAAGTCCTACCTTTCGGTCTTTAGGTGCGTTTTGCAGTCCATTCAATTCACGGGACATTCTCTTGGATTAGGAGGGCTAGGGCGATCTATTTGCGCCTGATGATACCTGGACGTCCACGCCTTCGAACTTCGAAACTGTACATACGTGTTGCTAGTTCCGCCGACAAGTTTAAAATAATTCTTGAAGACTCGAAGGCCCACCATCTATTTTTGAGGTGGCCCTTTCTCGTGCGCTTCAAGCTTCACCTGTTTCCGGGGCCTCCTCGCCTTAGCTCTTGGCCGTTCAAATCTCAAAATTGACCCCAAACCCATCTATCTCGACAAGCCCTACACTGGATTCCACGAATAACGCTCTGTCCTGCCGATTACCCATCAATTTACCGTTGTAGACATTTTACGGCACATCTTTGGGCCGCCCGTTCGTGCCAGAAATATTCCATGCTAAGCTTCTGAAGAACGAGAAGAGTACACCTCCAACGTCCGTATCCATACATGTTATCCCACAGGTCTCTATGTTGGACCCTTTCAGCTTCCATCTAAGGGATAACTAGAGATCGGCCACCCAGTACCAAGCCTACTTTACCGCCGACTTTCGCTCCTCCTCGTCCGATTCCTACCACCAAGCCTACCTTCCCACCGACTTTCCCACCTCAGCCTCCTCATACCCCGAAGCCTACCACGACTCTGCCGTTCCCGCCTATTCCGACGGTGACGCGCATCACGGCAGCTTAGAGCCGTAGGCGAGAGGAGCCGGAGGAGAATCGTCGTTCAACTGGAAGGTGAAGAGTTGAAGGAGAAAGTGGCTGGGTAAGTATGTTTCACGGTTTGCAGGATTTGGTCTCGTCGTTTCCAAAATCGTGTCGTTCGTAGTGTTTGAGTGTCGCGATAAAATGTAATGAAAACCCACGTTCAAGTTATTATTCTAAGATCCCCGGTGCTGCATCGCCGTCATTGTCGATAGTCGATCAACATCGCACGGTTGAAAGTTAGGGACGAGAACATGGTCTGTTGAAATTCTGAGCACCCATCCAATGGTCTGATCTAGAGACCAGGATTTAATCTGCCTTGAGAGAGACATGACCGCGCACCTCGGCCCGTCGGGAGGCACCGACGCGAGAGGAGGATGGGTGGCTCGTGGACGTTGAACAGGACGTGCAGAGCGATTCAGTCTCAAATACTACCAGAAGTGTGCGGTGGTAGAACAAGCTGTGGCCCACAGCGTTCTGTCCTCGGAACAAACCGAGCAAGGCGTGACCAAGATGAAAGTTGTAGGATCCATGAGGCGCGCCAAGATTCGGTGAGCTCCACGTCTTCGCCTATAAACTTACTTAATTTTACTTGTCTACCACAAGTAGCTATCAAGTATGAAGATGGAATACGTGAAATGCATCGCAAGGGCTACCCAAGCTAGGAGTCGCTCCGCGATTGATATTGATCACTCATCTCGTCGTAGTAGGCTCTGGAATATGTTATCATATCTCCACTCTGTGGCTGTAAGTTAAGGAGCTTGAAGTCAAGACCATCCGAAATGAGCCGTTCGAAAAACTGAAGAGTCGCTTCGTCGAGATAATACTCGTCATGGCCACTCTCTATGTTTACACACCAGTCCAACCGCTTGGGGACGCCGAGCCCACGATCAGCTTCGCACACTTCCTGCAACTCGTATTCGATCTCGATGTCGCTTATGGCGTCTAGGGTAAGACTGGTCAACATCGGCAAAAATTGCTCTTCTCTGGCATTCCCCTCTGAATTGATTGTCAAGAGTTCCCAGAATTCGTCGAAAAGGCAGGTACCGAATATTTCGAGTTCTTCCAGGCTCGGTACCGTCCATAGGAGGTTGGTGAGACTGTCTTCGTAGTGGAAGAAGTCACCTTCGTCGATGTGTAGAAACTTGAGAGGAGCGGATGATCGAATAAGGAATGATTGGAGAGGGTCCAGTGGCTGCCTATAGCAATTGTACCGGAGGGACTCCGAGGACGGGAAACAAAGATGGTCGAAAAGGGGGGACGTCGAATCAATTCTCGTCGCAACCTGCAATTTGAGAAGATGGTGGTGAATGTGGGTGTACTGGGATCCGCGCTGTAGTCGTCGTCTCTGACGTTTATGAGTTCGCATTCACGGAGTCGAGGCGCTGTTGCAAATAGTGTGAGACATTCACTAATGAAAGGGACGAACATGTCCACATCAGTGACGTTCGTCCAGTCAATCCGAATCCTGCCCAACCTGCAGGAAGAAATAGAGACTGTTCGTGGTGCAGGAAGAGGACCTCCGAGATCAAACTTCGCAGTCTGATCGTCTTCATCTGCATCGTCACTGTCGTCGTCTTCGTCATCTTCGTCGTCTTCCTTGGAGGTAATCCCTATAGAAAGCCAGTACAGAGCCGGGGCCCCGCAAATCTCGCTGCGAAAGAGATTGAGTAGATGGAGGGGAATCTGAAGGGAGAGCTTGCCCCAACGATATGAGTGTGAATTGAGGATATTGATAATAGTGCGATAGCCTCGTGTCTCGAAGGCATGCTCCGTATCACAGTCGATGCTGAGATGGATCGATAGATGTCGCTGGGAGGAATGTAGAAGCCAATGACGGAGCATCTCCTCACGCGAGGACTGAATCGTAGATGAGTTGAATTCAAGGTGAATCGAGGTCCACAGTGCAGACGTCGATTGGGCGATCTCTCGCCACCTTCTTGAAACGGCGGAAAGAGCCAGCGGGATGCGCTTTTCGATTTCTTGTTCGGTATCCACGCAGAACGTGAAAATCAGTGACGCGATTTCCGTCGGAAGGCAGGTGGTGAAAGGGTCATGAAATGCGTTGACAGAAAGCATCGAGTGTGTCTCGCCACAGGTTGGGCACATGAGATGCAACATCTCTGGAGTCCGATGTGTAGAGAAAATATCTGGGAAAGCGTGTTGGTCTCGGCATGTTCCTCTGCGAGCGGAAATCGTACCTTGGTGCGTTGACGTTCGTGTCCAACGTCTGGGTGATTGCCATCTGTATCGGATTTGATGTATTTTCTCCTCAGACTCCGGATAAAGTGGGACGGAACAAGAGCGGGGATCTGGGGGCCAAGTTGGACCCGCACCGGTGATTTGCCGGTGATGGACAAAGGACGGCGAGTTCAGATAATATAAAATTTCCTGCTCCTGGATCTTACAGTGCACGTCGTTCCCATCTGAGGCGCTTAAATGTCCCACGGGAGACATCAAGTGAATTTACATACACTCCTCCAATACTGCTCGGCCCCATAGCGGCGACTCACCATGCCAAAAAACTGTCAGCCCGGTCGTAGACGCTGAAGGACTAGTATGTAAATAACCAAAATTTGCATAAGTATATGCCTTTGTGAGAATTTTAATCAACGTACCTGGGTGACGAGGGACAAAGACGGGCGGACGGGGCGTCGTATGCCCTTTCTATTTCCCTTCCCATCCGAGTCGACACTTCAGCCTAGGTCGGAACCTCTTGACTTGCCTCCCTCCGGGTCAAAGCCTCCCTCCGAATCGGTTCTACTCCAATCTGGTTGATGGCGTCGACGTCATAAGTACCTCCTGGTACTATTGGTGGGTTGCGGCTCTTTCCTACGCGGCCGAACTGGTCCCGCGTACGGACTCGTTGTATGGATGGGAGCTGCTCTTGATTAGACGAGCGTCGTCCGTGGTCCGCCTTCCTATACCAGCCCACAACACGACGAGAGCACTGCATGGCTGCCGGCTCGTGGTGCAAATTTCAGAGAAACGAGACACGCGAGAGCCGACGAGCACAGTAGATTAAGGTCGACGTCGAGGTTGGGTGCAGGAACGCAATGAGTTGGAGTCGTCATCAGCTACGCCAAAGGACAGGCACGTTGCACCCAGCCGCCATCCGCCGGACAGAGAAAGACTGCACATCTAACATCATAGGAGGACATGTGGTCAGAAGAGGACCAGCAGGCCCTAGGTGCAGTGTTTTGCACGCCACGTATCCAGAGGACGCCAGGGGCGGGTTAACGTAGAGAATGTGTATCCAAACACTCACCAACGGCGCCAAGTACACTACTCACACACCGCGGTCCAAAGAGGTCGTGGTTGAAGACAAATAACACTGCCAAAAGACATGTGGTCGAAGAAAAATGACAGGCCCTCGGTGGCGGAACCACACCATCCCTCTCCCTTTCCCTCAACACATTCGAGTTTCACAGCTCTCACTTGCTCCTGGGCGTCTTCGTGTGCTTACATGTCTCACCCTCGCACCTTCGTTAGCGCCTCGACAGGCACAAAACTATGAGCTCAGAGCTGTCACCCTGCTCGAGGATGGGAAATTTGAACCATCAGCGATGCTGGGGACTTTGAAGAGGTTTACGGTTAAAGTTGCCGGCTCCTCGCGCTGGTTCGTGAACTCGTGAATGTCGAATACCGCCTTCGAATAGGAGAGCTTACTCTTCACCATGTTGAGCGAGGTCGTCGGACATTCTGAGCAAGGTAATGTTAAGCACCTTGGACACCTTCGAGTCCCTGTCAGCAAGGACTCAGGCCGTCCGCCCCTAGACGCGAAGTAACCTAGACACGAAATAACTTCCACTTCCCAGGCAGCACACACCTACCCCACCCACCGCGCCGGTACAGATACAACCCCCTCTCTACTCATAGACGCAGCTCGTCAACCCGCTGGGTGTGTAGAGTAGAGGTTAGTGTAGGGGCAGGCGAATCGAATCGTTCGCAGAAAATCATCGATTCAGAAGACTGGAGGCTTGTGCCTCGACGACGGCTCTGAGCCTGTACATTATTTACTTAACTACATTTCCATATTTCCTCTTGCTAGACCTTGCTTGCTTATGAACCGACCCGGATCTTGGATCGGGAAGAGGACATGATGTCGACACTGACTCGATCGTTTGTAGTAAACGTCGGTCGTTGGTATCGACATATGACTGTATGTATGTATTAGATATTTCAACTCGTAGACACGCTGGATTTAACGAGAAACCCTGTACACCGCCGTCCACAAGAGAACACGCAGACCGACTCAAAACATCATGCAAGGTCACGCGGTCTAACGAGGACCACCAAGCCCTAGGCATGGCGCAAGGCGACCCACATTCCTGTCGACGGCGGAGCGGAAGGTAGTGTAGCGTTTGCTTTGATGGAGGGCAGGGGATGTGGTTAGTCAGATGAAAGGGCTCGATGTGAACTTCTTTCGATTAGATGAAAGATAGCGGATTCGCCCGAGTCCGACGTCGACTCCATGCTCGGTCCTATAATTACCCAATCGACGTGGATTGTCGTCGATTGAGTTAATACAGTCGATGCAGTTGGGGTCGGGACGAGAGGAAAGAAAAGAAGGACGCGAGCGGAGGCAAGGCGAGCGGACGGGATTCTTCATTCGGTAAGTACGGAGGGAGGTCGGATGAAGTTGGGGTCCGAGGTATGGAGGAGAGGCATCACGCAGGGTATAGGCGCCTACTAGCCGCCGTCCACTGGAAACTCCGTCCTTTGGGTCCAAACACCGGCGAAGGACATGCGGTCAAAGGATGACCAGCAGACCCTAGATAAGGCGTTAGGCGAACCAAAGTCCAGCGGACGGCGGGTGGAGTGGATATAGGGCATGCGTGTGTAGAGTATATACATCAGCACTGAGCATTCGATACTCGTTGTATCCGCGCACCGCCGTCTACACCCACGTAAGTCAACAAATAGCACCGTCAAACGAGGACCAGAAGGCTAATAGGTACAGTGCTATGCGAACCACGTTTTGCTGGACGGCGGGATGGACTGAGTGTAGGGAACATGAGCGCATATATGTTGGTATCCATCGATATTAACGGCCCAAGGTACACTGCTTGTCCACCGCTGTCCACAAAATTGAAGCAGCTGTTAACGCCATCCAAGTATGACATACGATTCAACGATGTCCAGCAGGACCTAGGATGGCGTTAGGCAACCCATGTTCCTGTGAACGGCGGGGTAGAAGGTGGTGTAATTTTTTATTCGATGGAGGGCAGAGGATGCGGAAGTGAAAGGCGAGAAAGATATTGACGTCGAGGTAGGGCACAGGAGCGAGTCGGAGTGGGAGTCGACGTTGACTACGCAAAGGTACAAGCACCTGCACCCGGCCGCCGTCCGCTTTACACCGGTTCCGTATGAACACCATTCGAGGACACCCGGTCTAACGATGACCAGGAAGAGCTAGGTTTGGTGTTAGACGATCCGTGGTCCAGCGAACGGCAGGGTGGGTGCGCGTAGTGAGTATAATGCGCATATATGTCGGTATTCGTCGGTATCAATAACGCGAGGCACGGTAATACCCACACATCGCCGTCCACAAGAAAGTGTGGAAGCAACTGGAACACCGCTGAAAGATGTGCGGTCGAGAGAAAACCAGCATTCCTTAGGCGTGGTATTAGGCAACCCTCAGTCCTGTGGACGGCGGAGTAGGAGGTAGTGATGAGCGACAAGAAGGGGAATGAACTTCGTGTCATCCTTCGACGGAGGTGGGCATATAAGAATCGAGACGTCTCGGATTAGATCGGCTCTGGAGGGAGGTGGGCAGTATCTAGAGGTGTCAGATCGGAGGATCTTGAATATGGCGTCGGGACTCACGACGGCCCGAGCGAAGGACGATATGTCGTCTCGGTAGAGCTGCGCAACAGTGAGCGACAACTTTCATGGACGAGGAAGAGATATCTCTCGTCTAGCGGTCGTAGTCCTCGCTCCCGCCGATGGTGTCGTTAGTCCGAGGTCGAGCAAGAGCAGTCGATGTCGATGTCAGAGAAGAGCGGTAGATGGAAAGGGGCGGGTGGGGGAGAGGGGGAGAGGGGAGAGTGGGTTCATAATTTGAAGACTGTGGAAGGAAGGATGAATTCGAAGTTGAGGAATGGCGGGATTCGGCTGGTCGTCCTTATAAGTAGAAGCTCGGATAAGCCCGAGGAGATATGATTGGTCCATCCACCGGCCCGTTCTTCTGCTGCTAACCAATCATCTGTGACACAACGCAAGGTCTTATACCACCCGCAACCGCCCTCTGGGTCGATCTTCTGCTGTTCACCTATCTTCACACCTGGCCTGTGAACTTGAATGTCGGACTCTGCCTTTGAATGGAGAGGATTCTAAGCACCGACGAGTGAGGTCGTTCGATGTTTTGGGTAACGTACTCTAGGTTGATTCCGCTCGGTGTCCATGTATTCTTCTCAACTTCACACCTACAGAGCGTCTGGCGGCCCCTAGGCCGACTGCCGTGTCGCATTTTGCACCCCAAAACCTGAAGGCCAATGTAGTGAGAAATCTACCACATTAGCAGCTGCGCTGGCTTGAACAGAGCACGAGCACGACAGACCACGGATGTCGGCATGTCAAGAGAAGATGATTAGAATAGCATCTTCCCCCACGCCCAAAACAGATGTTCGCTCATCTTCCTGCTCCCGACAACGACACCCAAATACTTACCCTGAGCTACTGCGGTCGTCCGGAGCCAACTTCCAACAGTACCAGGCACGACCCACGATGGCACAGCTGGAGCCCGGAGTCATGTAGCTTGTCAACTCGGAGACGGGGTAAAGAGTTTCGCGTGGGCGTCGGAAAGCTGGGAGATGGAATGCGGGGCAAAGGCCGTACGAATGGTGTGGTACGGTACGCATGCAGGAACGTCCCGTCCCTCTCGTCTTCGTCCCTCAGGTGCGTTCTTCTCCAACTCAGCGGCATTATACCCTAGTTCAGGTTATGACGTTGATGTCATTCCTTTCCCCCCTTTTTAGGACCTCCTTATGCGCCATTTTGATTACCGTCCTATTGAACCTTGAAGAACTGTCGAACATGCACTACTGCAAGTCGGACTGTTCGACCGTCTTCCTCCTCTTCCTAGTCTTGGCCCCTACGACCCAACCACCAACCACCGCCTCTTATCCAAGTCCGCGTGAGGCCAACCTTTACCTATTCCAACGCTGCCCCCATTCGGTGTCGAACATCAAGCGTAGATCCTGATTCCAACATGAATACACCTGCCGACCCGCCTCCTCGCTGGGGTTCCGAGTCCGAATCCAATGTCCTTCTTTCGGGTTGCGCTAGAAATTCATCGTTTGACTTTGACCCGGATTCTTGTCAATGACCCTAGTCTCAGTCAAGCGTCAGGTGTACGAAAGAAGTTTAGCGCAGGACCAGGAGCAGACAAATCGTCGACCACCTGCCCGCCTGGGCCTATTCTTTGCGGTAATCAGCAGAAGGACATGCAATTCGCGACCGCCCGCACAGCGACGCGAACGCGTCCGTGTCCCCAGCGAGATGGCGGCTCCGAGCTCGTAAGTTACTCGATCTGTAGAACATCCGGACCCACCTGGACTTGCTCGCTCGCTCATGAAGTTACTTTGGTTTCAATTAGAAAGAAGGACGGCATCTCGATCCTGACTCGATCCGGTTCTTGGCTACCCTCCACCCATCGCCCATCGCCACGGGACGTCAGGGTGGGGTGAGGTCGAGGTAGGTGTCGAGGTTCCCTTCACGACTGCTGTATCCGATCGATGAGTGCGAGTCGTTCGCCTCCATTCGAACGATTCGCGTGCTCGCTCGAGCCTCGAGGTTCTATTTCAAATTTCAAGAGCCTCGAACGGATACTTACTCGAGTACCTGTAGGTATAGTCTCTCCGGGCTGAAAGTACGAAACTGGCCCTCTGAATCATTACCACTTGGCAGTTCTTCTGCGCCTCGTTCAGATTCAGAGGTTGATGGGGGGCTGCGAAAGCAAACGGTTCCAGTGTATGCTCTCTTCCTCTCAAATACTTCACATTCGAAGGGTGCTTATTGTTGGTATTTGATTCTAAAGAAGAACACATACCCTCCCACTCGCCAAGGTTCGAGTTTGATGTTCAAACTCTTTCCTCTGCGTTGGAAAATTCGAATTGGCGTTTTGTTGTTCGAGCAGGTTACGGGTTTTAGGAACAAGACGACGAGCGACTTGTACTCTAGACGACATTTCTCTTCCTCGAAGACGTGACCACCGGCCTACTTAGGAGCACCGACACGAGAGCCTAGGAGGATGGGTGGCTCGTGGACGCCGAAGCGAATGCGCAGAGCCGTTCAGCCTCTATTGGAACGGCGACGACCTGGGGGAATGTCAAGGTGCCGTCCTTGCAACGGACTGAGCAACATGGGACCAAGTTGAACGTTGTAGGAGAATCGAGACTCGGTGAGCTTCCACGTCTTTGCGTGCAGCAGACATATAGAGTATACCTCAGTGCTGTGCTGAACACCTTTACGCGAGAGGCAGACGTGAATTCTCTGCTCCTCTCATGGCATATTTACAAAATCTCTTATCTTTTTGTCCATACTCCGATGATTGGGAGCACACTGCTCCCCATTCGACGGGAAAATTTAAGCCGTGGTCCGGTTTGCCAGATCGCGGGACGACGAGGGGGTCCAACATGTCGGCGGCCTGTTCGAGGTCCAAATTCCATAGATAGAGGGACAAATGAGAGCCGAAGAGATTGATAGAGACGAGCCCACCTGTCACCAGATTAAAGCACTAGCAAACGAACTGACGTATCACCGTGACATACCTCCTCGAAACACCGCGATCTGGAGCAAAACGAGGGATGGGTGTCTGACGCGGGCGAGGGAGGAAGAGATGCGCTCCACCTCCTCGAAACGATAGACACATACGCATAGATACGCTTTGGCGCTCTTCAGTTGCCCAACGTGTGCTACCCGCGTACCGTCGTCTGCAAGAGGCGATGGAAATAGAACACCGTTGAGGGAAATGCGGTCAAAGGACCAACAGGCCATATATAAGTATGTATGGTGTTAGGCAACCCACATCCCTGTGTATGGGGGTGGGCTGAGTGTAGGGAATGTGCGTGCCTATACGTCGGTGTTTGTCGATATCAATAACCCGAGGGACAGCTTCGACTACCTGCGCACCGCCGTCGTCCACAAGGAGTATGAGGAGCACAAGAAAGACCGTCGAAAGGCATGCGGTCCAACGGTGGCCAGCAGGACCTAGGCAGGTGTTAGGCAACCCACATTCCTGTGGACGGTGGGACGGAAGGTCGTGTTGGAGGAGGTGGGAGTGAGAGTGAGCGAATTCGAAGGATGGGAGGATTGGAATTTAATTGTGA